TGAGCCACAACCACGATGCTATCGTTGCCACCTTCATCGCTAGTGGTAGAACTTTGATTGGGTTCTCCTGTAGACTCACCCCCTGTTGAGACGACAGTTATCTCGGTAGCTGTTCGTTGCAATTTTGAAGATAGCACAGACGAGAGAAAAACTGGCCAACGAGTGTGCCGGTGTGAGGACCGTCTATGACTATTTCCCGTTCAAAATCTGTCTGTACGCAGCCAGTTCTCTTCTCGGCACGCCAAGGGCATGACTGACACAAGTACTCAGACTCCGTAACCATGCACTTGCCACAACCGAGCTGGAGAACGCATAGGTTAGGTATATGTTTCCCATTTTCGTCACACATGGATTCGAAATCGCAAAAGATATACTTGGTCATGCTATACTCTGGACAATCCTCCTTTTTGACGGTGTGGGGCAGTCGGGTAGCCTAGTGGTTAAAGCGTTCGCTCGTCACGCCGAAGACCCTGGTTCGATTCCCGACATGGGAACAATGTATGAAGCCCATTTCTGGTGTCCCCCGTCGTGATATTGCTGGGATATTGCTAAAAGCGGCGTAAAAACATACTCACTCACTCACTTTGACGATGTCGACAGACATGTGACAACCGGTGCGATGGTCCTAGAAGACTCTTACACGTACGACACACTCTGCCATCGTCTTCTTCTAGACACTCGTGACCCGCGTTTCTGTCAGCTTTACATTGGGGACACCAGAATCTCACCTGTCGGCAGATACTGTTGTCGATCTGATCCGCGTCACAGTCCCTCGTAGGGAACCATACGCGACACTCTCGACATGGTTGACCAAACAGGATCGATTCCTGACCAACACCGTCGCCCCGTGCCACGCTGTGGTGTTGTTGCCGGAAAGTGTAGAGGCAGTTTATACCCTTACGTCCACATTTTCCGCATGTATATTCTTTAGTACAGGCATGTGTATCGTCGGACTTATACCCCCTATGACATAGCCTGCAATATTTGTTATCACCGTACACACCCGCTACGGAATTGATACAGTCGTAGTGACCAGCTGGACCACCCCCGGGAGTATTTGCAGCCCACCAGAAAATATCAATGCGCACCACCTACATCCCTCAGGAACGCTTCTCGTTCGGTGTACTGTTTTCTATGTTCCTGCTTGGGACATTCCCTTGTAGTGACGAATACCTCAGGAAAAGAAGGGCGACAGCAATAGCCCGACCAAAGCATAAATGATCATCATTCTCTGTTTAAGTGATACAACTACCCCTAGTTGTTTTACGCATGGTAAATGCCTCCAGTGATAGTAGATCTTTCTTGCTCAGACAGTGTCCATTACCCCTACCCACAGCGACAGGATTCCTATCTTCGTTCAGTTTCACTGTCATTGTACAGTCAAACGCGAAAGATGTGTTAGACTGGGCCACATGGTCCATCGCTCTCAATATCGTGGCACCTTAAGGTCTGAAAACTTGGTGAAAGGGATACATACGGGGGTCTCGAGGTCGCACTGCTCTAAGTACAGAGTAATTATGTCCGCGGAGACTGTGAACTCAAAATGTGAATACTTGTGAGACATTGAGGGATATGGACGTAAGGATATTGTCATCACAGGTTGTATTGCTGTGAGTATGCTATCTTTCCGAACAGGTCGTTCTGTTTCGTTCCTCTGTGTGAAAACTGTTCGCGCACCTGTAAGGTCTGAAAACCTGGTGAAAGGGATACATACGGGGGTCTCGAGGTCGCTCTGCTCTAAGTACAGAGTAATCATGTCCGTGGGGTTGATATCTGCGGAAGACACGAAAATAAATAACGTGAATAAACGTTGATGTGATACGAGCTAGGGGTGTTCTACAGACACCCTTTGGTTTTGATAGACATGTAGACAGCTATGTTATTTTCAGAAAACCAGATAGGAAAATATGTTTTCTATTACAACTTTTAACTATTTGAAAATAGCGATGTAATATTTACTTACTTTCCAGATTACCCAGGCGGGCGACAAGGGCGTCGAAACCTCGTGTCAGGAAAAGTTCGGGATCTGCAGTGCCCTGTTCATTATCCAGGAATTCCTGTAAGAATTTGAACTGGTACGTGATGTTCGACACACGATATCGCTGACTGTCCATACGTCGAGATTGTCGCAAGTAAAACACTCTGTCCGGCGAGTAGTCTGCTTGGGTATCGTGGTCGTCGTTGGTGTCGTCTAGCTGTTGTGGTGCATGATCGGCACCGTCATGCTGTATCTGATCTTCTTCTATCACGTCGTCTTCCTGCCCGCGATTATTGAGAGGAGACGAGGGGTGTTCTCCTGCCCCAGATTGCAGGTAAGTGGGACGGGTGAGTAGGTCGTCAAATGAAAAATAAAGTAAAATATTGTCCTCTTCCTCTGGGTCTTGTAGGAGAGGTGTGATCCTTTCCATGCTACTGAGTAACTCTTAATAAGCATCATTCTCGTCCACCATCACCAATAGATCGTCATCCGATGCGTCTATTTGTGTAGTCTCAGAACGTTAGACATAATATCTATTTCCTGACTCTCGGTGAGTGCCTGTAGATCCTTGTTAAGTCGTGTCAACGTGTTGGCAGTAAAAATGACGATGGTCGGGAAACGGCGCAGTATTGTTACCTATGCGCAATTTAAGGTATTATTATTACTATTACTATAACGATACCACCTACGGGAATAAGTGTCGTTAGTCCGTGATTCGAAGGCTTAATCATACGTATAAACAGACCAGAGGACGGCGGTCTTGATGTAGTAATTAGGGATTAAACACGGGGACAGACCGACATCATTGTAAAAACAGTCGGATGACTGGTGTGTGGCGATATTGATTGGTCGCTGGGGTGAGCGAGAACCTCCCCTCTAGAACCTCCCCGCGAGAACCTGTACTCGCTGTAACGGGAGGGGACACTATCTGAGGACCTGTCCGGATCTTCGCCAAGCCCTTGATGTGAGGCACGGAGTTGCCGGTGTAGTCGACTCTGTCCCTGCTGTTCGTGGAGGAGGTGTTTTTGATGCTGCTGCTGCTGCTAGTGCTCATACCGCTATACATGGGAGACCAACTGTTTCCACGGAACTGGTTCCCGCATTCGGTAAATGCTTCAGATGCGGGGGTTCCGATCATTGGGCCTCTAATTGGCTCCGTACCAAGTGTTACAGGTGCAACACTAATATAACGGACACTACGCCAGGGACTGTATGAAGAGTATGCGCGGTGCAAATGTTGCTGGTGTTTCGGAGGAAAACCGTATAAAGACCCGGGAGGATGTGTCGGAGGGTGAGATGGCGATACCTTAGAGAAGTGTGCGAAGTGTTCCGTCAAAACAACGGCCGATGTCGGCACTCAGACTAAAGGTCGCGCGATCCTAGGCTCGCATTACAGAAAATTAAAGTGTATTACGGGTCTGGGACGACGTTTTAGTTTGAGTGAAGATTCGGAAGATAGAGCTGAAACCACTGGGGTGGTGGCTCCCATACCGAGACAACCCACCGATACCGATGGAGGCAGCCCTCCGGAGAGTGCTCAGCGGGTAGTGGCGGCTAGGAGTCCTGCTTCAGAGGGTTTCAGCCCTATTAGCCAGCTGCCGGTTGAAGACCCGAACACGCCTCTCTACATCGATAAGTATAGCACTCACTCTCTCCTCCCGAGAAAGCACAGAGGGTGCCCTGGAACGATGAGAGCACAACATTCCCATCCTCCCTCGTTACAGAACTGTTTGGCGCGTTTAGCGCAACTTCTACGGTGACTCTCCCTCCCCCTATGGAATCGACCGAAGCGAGCACCACGAACACTCTAACCGTGGTGGCTGACGTACACCATCCAGTACACCCCCGAGACGTCCCCGCACTCTGCATAGGAGCGGGGTCAAAACACGTCTCAACTTCCCCTAAGTCGTTCATTTGTATTTCTATGTGTATATAATTCTATTTTGGGTACCTCTACCTCAAAGATAGAGGTCGTGACATTGTGAATTTGTTTCGCAGTCAATTTCTGGTAATGAGTTAAAATTCTGAGGTGAGTGAGTGAGTGAGTGAGCTTTCACTGAAACATGGATGCCTTGTCCGTCGTCGTCAGCGGCGTCTGTCCTCTATTCCACTGGACCATTGACGCTGAAACTTCACATGAGGTCAGAATCCGATTTCAAGATGGCCGCGAGGACAGCCATAGCCAATCTTTTTTTAAATGAGATAAAACAGACAAGACCCATAAGGCTTAGAAAGCTGAAATTTGTTTGATTAGACTATATTAGAAGATGTAAGTTAGCTAAAGGGAACCTGATTGACTTTCAACTTCGGTACTGTAGACGATGTCGCTAAAATAGGTGTTTCTTCTTTTTCCTTCATGTGCGGAAACCAGCCACAGACGTGTGTTACCATAATTAGGGTATAGTGTTTTAAACTCGTCGAAGTAAATAATTCATTTTCTTAAGAGTGTGTGTGTGTTCACCAGGGTTCCCCAAAGAGGTACAATTGTGATGTCCCACTCTATGATACTGCTGAAAGCGACGTAAAAACTCTCTCACTCAGTCATTTACATTTGTTTAAAAACAAAATGGCTGCGCCTAGCTTAGACGATCTGGTAGATAATCCTTTTTTTGTAATTAAACGGGTCTTACCTCGCCAAGTACATCAAATCACTTGAGCACCTTGATGAAAAACATGAAAATATTTGGAAAATATCTCTGGACGTCCAGTTGACGTACACATGCTCAGCAAATCCTGCAATCGACCGATATCTGCATGTCAGTCGCCATGTTGTTCATGAACCGGATGTCGATGTCGTTATGCGATTTTGATTGGACTACGCAGACTCGTTAGTCCATCCAAAATGCAACGTCATATTTCCAGCCTAGTTCGGCAAGGATGGAAACTGGACTTTCATAGTCAGTTTACTCCCTTGCTTTAGGAAGATGTGTACCTTCAGGCTAATCAAGATAGTAAATCCTCTTCCGTCGCCATGTCAAGTGACTGATCATTGCCAGACAAATGCTTATCAGTCACCATTTTCTCGCGGCCTGTATTGAAAAGGTGATAAAAGACACGCACCTTCAATTTCGCAGTTCGTCTGTAATTCTACAATGAAACTGCTGGTTGTGTTTTCTGTATTCGTGGCTAGTGCCCTGGGCCAGAATGGCCTCCCCCTGACCCCCGTCTGTGCCCCTACAACGTGTATGGTGGTGCTGTGCATGTCTGCCCAAGGATGCGACGGGCGTATAGAGCCACATGGCGGCTTCTGTGGCTGTTGTCCGATCTGTGTGAAGCAACTCTGTAAGTAATGTGTAAATGTTTACTTTTACTTTTCTGGCAATCGGGACACGGTGGGCCCCTGATGTGTGGCGCCAGTTCTCGCTGTATAGAGGTTCGCTTCTTGACTGCTTGAATCTGCTAGTCATGGATTAGACGCCACATTCTCCAGATTAAACTCACTCACTCATTCACTCACTCACTCACTCACTCAAAATACTTTACATTCCCATACTTCCTTGTTTTCCCATCAGTGCCACAATGTATAAGTGCTACACACCTGAAAGTATAATTTAGGTCAAACACTTCTTTAGAGCGGTAAAAGAGTACAGTAAACTACGGTTATAACGAACTAAAAGGGACCACTAATTTTAGTTAGTTATAACCGTAGTTCGTTATACGCATATATACAGCCCGTTTTCAGCAAATGGGCGGGACCAAAAAACAGTTCGTAATGTCCGCCAGTTCTTTATAAGCGTGTTCGTTTTAAACGTTGTTTACTGTAGTACTATATGTTCGTAACAGAGTTAAATATTGCGAGTAATTTAAGATAAAACAAAATTCGTTTGGCAGTTTATTAAATCTTTAATTGCAGTTGCTAGTTGTCTCGGGCAATTCGTTCTACAACGTCACGTCCCCATATGTGGCAATAACTTGTGATCGTGGGTTCGAATCTCGGGTCGCCCTGATTGTTTTAAGGTTTGTCAGCATTTCTACCTGCTCGTGGCTTCCACCAAAGAGGTAAACGTCTGAGACCTGCATCACTTTGGGCTTTCCTCCCACATTAAACTGACACGCCGCGATATCACTAGCATACTGATCAAGATGGTGTTTAACCCAACTCACGCACTCACTCACTCACTCACCTCCTCTCATTTGCCCACTGCATTGTTCTCTAACCTGTCATGTCTTTCCACCGGAAGCTGCCGGCGACTCGTGTGACGCCAGCGCCAGTGATGTTGAGTGTGGCAAGGGTCTTCACTGTGATACTTCTTCTCATACCTGTGTCAAAAACACAAGAAGCACAGGTAACTTACACCATTTGATCTATGTTTACTCATTCCTACATCTTAACCTTTTGAAATAACTTGGACATCAGATGGTTAGACATCCGAGAACGTCCTTAACACTATTCAACTGTTTGTATGACGTTTTTTAATTCACGTTGCCCCTGGAAAATTAAATATAATTGGGGTTTTATTTCAATAATTATTTCATCTTACTATTCTCTTGTAAATTAGGATCAATCTAAAAGTACAAAGTCTCTCAAGGATGAGGGGCGGTCTGGTAGCCTAGTGGTTAAAGCGTTCGCACGTCACGCCGAAGACCCGGGTTCGATTCCCGACATGGCTACTATGTGTGAAGCCCATTTCTAGTCTCCCCCGCCGTGATATTGCTGGAATATTGCTTAAAGCGGCGTAAAACCATACTCACTCACTCACTCACTCACTCAAGGATGTAGTTAACGGAAAATAATATTTTTTGTATTTCTTGAAATATAATTTCATTTTTATACAGCACATTGTGTTCCTCTAGCTACAGTAGCATATGGTTTTGAAAGCCTGTTCAATTTAAATTGTCGGTTTTTATTTCAATATTGATCATGTTATGTTAGTGGGTACATAGCAATATTATGCCCTTTAATCAAAATACAGTTGTAAGAATAGCAAGGAGAATATACTGTAGGACAAAAGAGAGAAGGTTTAAACCCATGTTTGATGTTGAATGAAACAAACAGGAAGAGGTTATTTGATGTGTTTTATGCGGGTATCACAGTTGTGGTTTTGGACCTCAGGTTTGCAGCTTCCGGCAACTGTTTTCATTCTAGTCACGTTTTGATAACGTTTATTCAAATCCAATTTCCAACTGTATACTTTTTTTGCCCGTCAGTGTTTGTCAAGGTAGCCGTACTTCGAGACAAGCGGAGTGTTTATGTAAGGCTCCAGTGTAGATGGGGGGTCTCTCGGAACCATCACGTTAAAGGGTGCGTCAAGGTATAGGGGACATAGTGAATGAGGGTTGATTGTGAGAGTATCAAGACAAATGCGCCAACAACTGACACGTTCTCCTTCGTTCACGTTCACGGGGGCGGTCGGGTAGCCTAGTGGTTAAAGCGTTCGCTCGTCACGCCGAAGACCCGGGTTCGAATCCCGACATGGGTACAATGTGTGAAGCCCATTTCTGGTGTCTCCCGCCGTGATATTGCTGGAATATTGCTAAAAGCGGCGTAGAACCAAACTCACTCACTCACGTTCACGTTCTTTCCTTACCCAGCAGGGCCCTGTGCTCTGCGTCACCAGGAGTTCCTTGCTAAGGATCAGCCTTTACCCGGAGATATTGATCTAAAGTGTGAGACTGACGGGACATACAAGCCCAAACAGTGCATGGTACCTGGGTAGGTTCAGCGTGACATCCTCGATTGTCCAGGACATTATATCTCAACTCTCTAGCTACCCTAGAGTCGTTTGAAAGTGACGTCTTTATCTATAACTCACTCAATATCTTACAATCTCTCAATCACTAACCCCAGCAGGGATTACTCGCTCATAATAATAATTATTGGTTTGACCCTAGACTAACATTTAGTCTCTGAAATCTTATTTTACACAATATCCTTCTTGACTCTAAAAATAATTTTAAAAATCCCTATGCTGTGGAATAGAGCTAGCTTGTGCCGGCTAGACTTGCTTTTGTATGCATTTCTAGATTATTTATTTTTTATAAAATAAATATATTCCACGGTCATGGTGCAGGACTAGTTTGACCCAGGCTCCATTATTTGCAGGCCGCCCTCATATAGTTGGAATAGAATGCGGCGTTAAACAAAAGACAAACAAACAAAATGTTATCCGTTACCACAGAATGTTTCTCCCACGAGTATCTGAAATAATTTAACAAATGTGACAGCCTCAAACGAACTCAAAACTAACATCTTCCTTTTCATAACAGAACCTAATATCGTACATGCGGATTTTAAAAACAAAGCATTTTTTCCTCAGATTTTACAAAAATAAAATAAATATTTCGCTGGCCATTAGGGATGTCCTGAAAAAAATTGCTGTTGAAAAAGATATGTCTCCTTTCTCTGAAAAAGAAAAGCGTATTTTCAAGAACTGACCGAAAAATATCCTATCTTCAACCCAAATCCCAGATAAGGATATAATCTGATACAATGTGTGAACTACATTCTTGTTGACACATGCCGTGATGTGATTTAAAATGGCTTCTCGTCCTCACTCATTCATTTCTTGATACATATTCAATAAGAAAATGTTTGATGCGATACATCAACACGGCGACAAACTCTTTGTTTGTCAAATTTTATTTGCAATAAAATAATTTCCCAAAATATTTAATCAAGATATTCAAACGAATTATTTCGAAATTTGTAAAAGAAAACTCTCGCTCTTGAATCTGCGTACCAAATACGATTTTGTGCGTTCCGTGTACCACACTGCGAAGTCCTTATTACCCTCTGAATATACCCAAGCATAATACAAGTGAGGGGCACGGGTTGCTCATCCATCTGAGGTGCTGTCTGTGCAGACTGTGCAGACTGTGCCCCTTACGCGTGCCAGATACTATCGTCTTGGGTTCGAATCTCAGATTCGCCCTTTTCATGTTTCATATTTTTTTGCACTATCCCTGTGCTTGTGGGCCTCGCCAGTGTGGTAAACGTCTAAGACCTGCATCAGTTCGGGATTTCCTCCCACATCAAGCTGTGATAAAAAAAGTCCAGTTAAAACTCCTCAATTCCAACCAAGTTCGTCAAGAGTAGAAACTGGACTTTACAGTCAGTTAGCTCCCTAGCCCAGATAAGATGCAATATCTATCAACCTTTAAAAAAAGCAGAATTTTAAAATACCCTCACTATTTTGGCAAAGTGTTGGCGAGTTGTCTTCCTAAGCTCACTTTAATGAGTGAATTGTGTTTTATATGTTTTACTATGTATAGTCTTGTTAGTCCAGGTAAAATGAAACTCCTTAATTCCATCCAAGGGTGGAAACTGGATTTTTATGTTCACTTAACTCCCTTGCCTCGGGAAGATGTGAATATTTTACGCCAGACATAAATTTAACATAATGTTCAAAGCAGTGTTAAACCAAACCATCTCATTCATAACTTAGTATAACCTCTCCGTGCTTCTGTTGGAGAGGCCGTGTCGTGATTCCAGGTTATAGAATACTGACTCATTAACCTATGCGTGTCATAAGAGTTGTCTAAATAAATGGTTAGGGTGGTCAGAAATGACTTCGCCACTGATTATCATCATGCCCCATCACTTTCTTAAATACCTGTTTCAGAAGGTGCTTCTGTGTTGACCAAGACGGTAACGACCTCGGCTACTACACCAACTCCGTCGCGGACGCAGGCAACATGGACTGCAGTAAGTACTTAACAACGTGGTTTAGCTGTTCTATATTCACTGTGCTAATAATAAATATCAGGCTTCAAACTTGGAAATAGAAACGGCATGGCAACAAAGCTGTAATATTGGCCAGATCGATGGAGGTCATCCGCCATCATATTTTCTTGTTACATTAAAGCATGGGATATCTAGTGAAACCCGTTAATCCGTTCCCAAATTGAATCGAGTTACCAAATGTCCGGATTAACGAGTCATGAGTAACGAGGAATGTTCCCGTGTGAACGTTGCCTTCACTACTCGTCCGGAATCTGAGGTTACAGGTTTAACGGGACCACACGGTGTCACTGTATCATATGAAATGCAAATAGAAATGTTCGGAGTTAATGTTGACCGTTGTTTTTGTTGACCTTTGTTTTTATTGACTACTTTTTTAAGCGTGTGCTCGGGATAAAGCCGCCTACCTGAAGACTGGCCTCATCGGCAAACTCTTCTTCTGCGACAGCAAAGGCAGCTACAACAAGAAACAGTGCATGGGCTCTGTCTGCTTCTGCGCCGACAACAACGGCAAGACGCTGACCAACGGCCAAACTGTCAACATCGGTGAAATGGACAAGCTCCAGTGTTAGGTGTCGGATACTGCCATGTGCGGAGCATGTGACCCACGTTTCTTGTATACCCGGTGTGACATTGGTCTCATATATACGAGGAATACATCGCATGGAATAATTCGTCCGTGGTGTTCTATACACGGAAATGTACGATGTTGTCATTACCAGCCCCCAGCCCCACATGGGGTAACGGGTGGCCGAAATCGTCTAAGACGCCGCGATTCGCCGTGCAGAGTTGCGTCCCTTGGGCACGCCAGAAACCTATGATTGTGCGCTCGAATCCCGGTTCGCCCCGATTATGTTTCTAGGTTTGTCAGCACCATACCCGTGCTCGTGGGTTTCATCGAAATGGTAAACGTCTGAGACCTGCATCACTTCGGGCTTTCCTCCCACATTAAGCTGACACGCCGTGTATAACTGGAATACTGTTAAAAGCGGTGTTAAACCCAACTCACTCACTCACCCAGCCCCACATCCCTTTCATCATATTTCGGTTCAAGGTGTGGTGAGGGAGGTCGGGTAGCCTATTGGTTAAAACGTTCGCTTGTCACGCAGAAGGCCCGTTTTTGATTCCCCACATGGAAACAATGTGTGAAAGCCTTTTCTGCTGTCCCCCGCCGTGATATTGCGTGAAGATTGCTAAAAGCGGCGTAAAACCATACTCGCCCACTAACTGAAATTGCTCATTTTCGGGGTGCCATTTTGTCGCGGGTTCTGCCAACGATGTAATTGAGGGAACTGAGGCGGTGCGGATGAGGTATAAAAGGATTTATTACCTGTAAAAATATATAAATCACATCAACATGAATTGATGAGTCGAGGAAGAAAGAATGTCTTCCCTCGACAATGGCGTGACATAAAGTGGCATTTGAAAGTGTCCACGTCACACCCCAGGTATCAGCACGAGATACTGCTGGTAAAACAACCAGGAGTAAGGGTTGAGAGATGAAGCGTCCGTAAAATGAAACAGAGATAACTCTTGGCAATTTCCCTAAATGAATCCGGCGACATTCATAAGAATGCGGGATGGACAGGGAGTCGAAACGCACTTAAAATACATAGAAGAAAATATAGGATGTGTCCGACAGGTGGCGGGTAGGCTTGACTGCTCCGCCACGAATTATGCAAATGGCTTCCGCACGAGGTATGCACCCGTCAGTTGGAAACGTATATCGTCCTCAATCACACCCGCAGATGGGGCAGGCACAGCTGTATGTTGACAACACGTCACACACAACAAGGCATTTATAGCAGGTGACATGTCCCATGTCTTCATTCTATTTCCTGATTAGGGAATCAGCATTAACTCTTGGAACCAAGGCTGGCATCGGTCAAGCACTGGAGAATACATCCTGGTCAGTAGGTCTGGAGATTATATCCTATATATGGTAATAATTTAACACTTTGAACAAAGGGTCACAGTGGTGGTCAAGCACTCCACATCTGAGAAAACGTACACCTTTATTGATAACATGGTCTTGTTTATTGCATATAGCGACGTTTCCATGTAGGTTCTTACACCGTCGTCAAGCATCTGTTTTGTTTGTTTGTTGTTTAACGCCGCACTTAGCAATATTCCAGCTATATGACGGCGGTCTGTAAATAATCGAGTGATTAACATTACGAGCATCGATCCACGCAATTGGAATACGATGACATGCATCAACCAAGTCAGCGAGCCTGACCACCCGATCCCATCAGTCGCTTCTTACAAGCATAGTCGCCTGTTACGGCAAGCATGGGTTGCTGAAGACCTATTCTACCCCGGATCATCAGGGTCATCAAGCATCTATTATCCACATCTGGAGATCATAACTTGGTCAATAGTTTGAGGTTCACGGGGTGTGAACAAGGGGAAGACAACTCTGGAGATGAAGCTGGGGACTATAAGTGACCAGGCAACAGACCTTGGAGTTGTGTTTAGACCTGATTCCCATCAGATGTGTTATCTAAACAGTTGTAGTGAGGTGAGGTGAAATGGGGTTTAACGTTGTGTCCAAGATTATTGCGTTTGTACTACTCCGGACTGATGCCGACTTATAGTGCTAGCCCACTGAGATACCATGCCGCAGTGTAACATGAATACCCCACTCAGACACAGTATACTGACTCCGGGCCGACCAGTCCTTGTTTTAGCCCCTTAATGCCGACCGCCAGGCAGGGTAACAACAAGTACCATTTTTTAACGTCTTTTGGTATGACACGGCCGGGGATCGAACCCCGGACCTTCCGCTCTCCGGGCGGACGCTCTACCACTAGACCACGGAGGCTGTCAAACAGCTGTGGACCCACAGACGAACTTGTATTGTGTATGCCGAATACGTCACTAATATCAACAAACCCGAAGGGTGATACATGCCAACTGCAGATGTATCCTATAATTGTATTATCGTGTTGTAATCTTAGCTTCACAGAGTAAACTATTGTCCAGTGGTTTGCATTTTCACTCAGATTTAGTTAATAGATCATTCTTAACAGCTATAAACCTTTCAAGCTTATATCCCTGTCCACACAAGGACTGCATCTAGTGTCGGGATACTGTTTGTGATGCTGCCTACATGTACATGATGTTTTGGCCATAAGAATGATATGAATTAAGAGTATACTAGGAATATGGCAAAATAATATTTCCGTTTTCGTCAGATTATATTTACAGGTAAAGTGCAAGTTAATTTTTCAATTTTCAACCAAAATTCATTATTATTTTTTACAAATTTACATTCCAAGTATACGTGAAGTAAACTCTCAGATACAGGTCGCTATATGGCTGAAATAATGCCGATGCGACGTTAAATTATATCCCCAAATAGAGCAAGTGCCATCTTCAACTAACTTCCGGCAGTTAGCCACTTTGATTGGTGTGAGTAATACTCCAGTATCCCATTCCTCAACGCTGAGGCAATCTCCCCTATTTCAGTGCAGACTCAGTAACTGGTGGTCCATTCATCTAAGGGAGAGAAACCTATGATCACGGGTTCGAGTTCCTGTTTGCCCTCATTAGGTTCCAGATCCGGGTTAGAATAGGTCTTCAGCAACCCATGCTTGCCGTAACAGGCGACTATGCTTGTCGTAAGAGGCCACTAACGGGATCGGGTGGTCAGGCTCGCTGACTTGGTTGATGCATGTCATCGTATCATGATGTCAATCACTGCATTGTCTGTTCCAGACTCGGTGCGGTCCACTGCGGTGTTAAACTACAAATAAACAAACAAACAAACATTAGGTTCCAAGTTATTGTCAGCAACATATCTGCGCTCTTGGGTTTCACCACAGCGGTAAACGTCTTCGGAATTTTCAACGACATGATGAAGACACAGTTTAAAGTAGCGTTAAACTAAACTTGCTCACGTGCAATGTAGGTTTCTGGGTGGATACTTATGTATCTATGTATGTATCTTTGCGTTTCTGCGTGGTTTATTTTGCAAATTAGTGTTTACATTGTTTCTGTCTACTTGCTTCTTGTGTCACATTCATTGTCATTGCTTGTTTATTCGTTGATAGTATGTTGTAGAAATCACAGCTGATCACGCAATGCATGGAACGAACTGGTGTCACATGTTTTTACTTCGATCTTCATTTTTCTAATTAATTCTAATGCCAAAAGGCGGGATATCATCATGCAGTATTTCAAATATTAACATCCGTTGTAAAAAAAATACTTAAAAATAAAGAAAAAGTATCATATAAATATAATGTTGAACTACCACAAGCCAATGATTCGAACCCTGGCCACAAGATTCTTGACCGGATAAATAAGCTCTCTGATAGCTCTAATCAGGATTACTTCCCTTGTGATTGCGGTCACCAAGCTCCTTCCCAGCGCGTGACACCTTCGTTACACTCTCGGTATAGAGAGTTCCGGGAACGTACTATCGCTGTGAGGAGCTTGTGCGGTCATATGTCTAAACATTCTGAATGAGCAGAGTGATTCAGCGGTATTAGAAGCAGTGATCACTGTCGGCCACAACGCAGCTGACGTAAGATTACATCAGATTATCAAGTCTGCCCGGCGCTTCGACAGGTGTATGTCGTAGTCTCTCTCAAACCAGTAAACCTTCGATCGTACGATAGTCACGTGATCGCTTCCATATCGTCTGCAAAACACACAGGATCATGACAGATCAGGGTTCGGAGTCCAAAGCGCCCGATAGGAACAGTGACATCAAACCCAGGTATGACTGGACACACGATACCCGTTTTACCTGTTTAACGTTATGTCCCACCTCACAATTGAGTAGAATGTCGCATTTCAGTACTGTTCGTTGGGAAATATAATATGGAAGAGGATATGTGCCAAAATTGCATTATGACTGCTAAACGCTGCAACTGTCCGTTTTGTGTCCCTCCGAGACACACAGAGCAGTGCCTTCGAAGTTCTATTGTCGTAATGCCTACGAACTGAATCGCAGATTTGATTTATATAATATTCGCTTGTATTTCTTCTCCTCGTCGAGCATACGTGTACTCAACACTAGGATACGGTACATATAGGATAAACATGGCTAAAAAGAACGGGTAATTGAGTAAGGAATCCGACAATACAATGTGTATACTTTTACCATCATTCCTAAACGAATGGAAGTGGGTGTTCAGAAACAACAAGCAAATCATTTTGAAAATTATTTATGGAATGTTGCATAAAGAATGAGTGAGTATGGTTTTAGGCCGCTTTTAGCAATATTTCACTAATCTCACGGCTGGGACACCTGAAATGCACTTTACACAATGTACCAATGTGGGTAATCAAACCCGCGCCTTCTGCGTGACGAGCGAACGCTTAACCAGGCTACCCGATCGCCCCATAACGACTGTTTGCATGAAGCAAAATACAATATTGCATTATGAATAGCTTTATGTAATATTTGCACAGATTCGTTCCTTACGAGATTAGTGTTGTCTTTTTTCCCTAAATTTAACAGACGAAACAACCTTTACTTTAATTCTCTTATGTATGCCCTTCAATGGCAAATTTAGCTCTAAGGCCTCAGCCGCAGATGTTGTACACAACACGATCTCCTGCAGGCCTATATTATGGTATATATGCACCATCGTAACTGGCGGTAACGCTCTGCAGTAGTTGTCGGATCGTAAAATCAGAGAATAAACATATGGCTACGATTCCGGAGCCGACTCCAGTATAACCTGTCCCATTATAAGAGGGCACCTGTGACTGTGAGGGTTGCCTCCCTTAGCTGTACAAGGATCTCCTGGTGGTGAGTCCGAATCCAAGATTAGCCTTTATTTCGATCGTTTATCAGTCAGCACCAGTGCCGCGTTAAACAACAAACACAATTTTGTGATGCCAGGACCCTACATCAGGGTCGCTATATGGCTGAAATTATGCCAATGCGACGTTACATTTTAACTCACTCACTCACCCCAATATCAGGGCTCGATTCCCAGATTCTAACTTGTATTGATCCTTGGTTTGTTTGCACGTGGCCCGAGCTGGTGGGTCGAGATTTGCGTTACTAATATTGATGATAAAATGTCAAAGGCGCATTAAACACAACTCACTACTAACCTGTATTTACACTGTGTTTCCAGACCCTTCCGGGCCAAGTACCAGCATCTGGTTGACATGGGATATAGCTTAACAGTAAACCAGGAAGAATCTCTTGCAGTGGTGGAGGCCCCTGGACCTTCTTATGAGTCATTTGACGTCTATGGTAAAAAATATATTGAATGAAAGAAATACATTGATTAAAAGATATATAGATTTGTTTGTCACTTCAGGACACCTTTTGTAACTGAAAGGAGCTCGAATTTGTTGGGTTTTGTTTCTGCTTGTCCAGAGAAAATTTCTTTCATCTTCCTAAACCTGAGACAAAATCAGCTTTTCCAGCTTTTCCTTGAACAAAAAAATCCCTGAATAACAAATTACTTGTTCTTCGGATTTTGTCCCCAAAGTGACGAGATACAAATGGCATCATTTGTTGCTGTTTCAACCCGTTTCGATCCCCCACATAGGTACATATTGTTAGGCCCATTTCTGGTGTCCTGCTGACATTGCAAGAATATTGCTGAAGGTGGCGTAAATCCATACCCACGCACGGTTTTATGGTGCTAGCTCACTGAGATATCATGCAGCAGTTTAACATTGATACTCCACTCAGATACAGTATACTGACTCATGGCCGACCATACAGTAATGCTGAGCGCCAGGCAGGGTAACGAGTACCATCTTCAAACGTTGTTTTATATGACGCAGACGGGGATCGACCTTCCACTCTCCTGGCGGACGATCTTTCGAGAAGACAACGGAGACCGTCTATTCTGAGAGGGCTGAAATGATGTCCCTTGTGGCAATGTCAGGATAGAATGTAGTACCAATGCTTGTCGTAAGACTCGACCAAACGGAAGCTTGGATTGCTACAGTATCATTAGTCACCACTATCTCCTTTCCGTAACCTGCAAGAAGACTCGTCCCCCCTATCAATGAATGTTATGTGCGAAAATAAGACAAACCAATCTTCAAGCACTTAGTTCAAAGAATCCCTCAGGAATAATTTTTGATTTTATACATGTTTTGCATCTAAACATATACCCTAGATTCAGGTAAATGTGTTCAATCATACTGTATATACCGTAAGTTCCGATGTGTTTTAAATAGCCTCTGGAAATATACGTGAATCATTACGCAACATTTCTTTTGAGTTGACAATTCTTTTAACTATGCCCGTTTGCGCTTAGACAGAACCCAGTCGCAAAAATGGCCAAGAGAGGGACACGAGTCAATATACGGCTTGTCCCGGAATAACACGAGTTGGTCACGAATGCTTCTAACAGTATGTGAACTGTTCTATTGTGTGTCATCCTACGAATTACATATTTACTCCCTGACGTTATTACCAACAGGCCGTTGTGATGTTGCTGAAATGATGCTCGTAAGACAAATCTCTTCACAATGAAGGCGACTATGCTTGCCGTGAGAGGCGACTAACGGGATCGGGTGGTCAGGTTCGCTGACTTGGTTGGTGCATGTCATCGATCCCAATTGCGTGGATCGATGCTCATGATATTAATCACCGGATTGTCTGGTACAGACTCGATTATTTACAGACCTTCCGTCATATAGCTGGAATATTGCTGAGTGAAGCGTTTAACAACAAACCAACCAACCAACTAACCATTACAATGAAAACTTTTAACACATATTTGATTATGATATTTTGTCTTTGTAGGAAACTGTAAGATTTGGAGCATCATGAGACTCATGGGCGCCTGTAGGTACTTTGCCTATCATTATCCCTTAGATAAAACAGGACACTCATTCATGGACTATGGTTCAATGACAGATGGCATGTTCACATTCATGGCGTCCTCTCAGTTTGAAGTTGAAAAGTCCATGTATGATACTCAAGTTTCAAAATGGCCGCTCAAGGTCAACGTACAGCTCGGGTACATCGGGAAGTCTTCCACCAACTCCGTCAGCAGTTTAGTTGTACCTTCTTCAGGTGAGACATTGGTAAGAAATATCAACCAGATCGTTGCCATTGACAAGGAAACGCGCAAACCGACGCCATTCCCGTCATGGTGGAAGGAGAAACATGGCGAGAAAGCGGTCAGAAAGGAACCACTGATTATACAGAAGCTCTCCAAGCCTGACAACCCCCACACCTACACCTTGCGTGTGTCGTGGAGCGAAACGGACATGTACAATCACGTCAACTGGGCGTCCTATGTGGTGTACTCCATTGATGCCCTCCATCATGGGATAAAGGAGGGCAAGTTGAAAGGCATGGACAAGGAGGTGGTCAAGAAAGGAATACAGAGGATGCGGATGGCTTACTTTGGTGAATGTGTCGAAGGAGACCAGTTGACGGTTTACTTCTGGGAGGTGGAAGACCAGCCTAGAACTGTGTATTTTGACATCGTAAAGGATGGAGTTTCCGTCTATCAAAATACATTAACATACCATCAGTAGGAAAAGTATTTGTTAATCTATCACCCTGTTTAAAAGTAGACTCGTCAAGATCAACACTTCATTACCAAGAATGTACACAGCATACCATTGGCGACAGTACATAATGATTGCATCCGATGAATGAAAACCTATTCAACCAGAAAGACATTTTAATCTTTTATACCTAGATTTGCTTAATGTTTGTAGGTTTGTCAGCACCATGCTGGTGCAGGCTGGTATCACCAAAGCGGTAAACGTCTATGCAACATCACCAAGGGCGTTCCTCCTGCATTTAGCTGACACGCCCTGGTATAACTGAATTACTGTTCCAAGCGGCGTTGAAAAAAACACTTCCTCACTAAAATTCAAAAGAACATTAACTTAATTTATTCAACCTCGATTAAAGCAGTTTCCTTTCTGTTCTCAATGCCCCTGTTCATATGACCTGACCGTCTTTATAAGTGAGTGAGTTCAAATCTAACGTTGCATTGGCATTATTTAAGCCATATATAGCGAAGAGCCGTTTATTTAATGTTTGACAGGACAATAGCCATATTTGAAAGGCTGAGGTTCTTAAAAAATATTTAATCATTTATTGATGAAAGAGTCGAGATATGAAATCATAGTATCCATTTGAAATCATATGTTTTACTCATGTTGCCAACTATTTATTTTGATTCAATAAAGTGAAAATTATGTAATAATGCATTTTGACTTTGTCAGTGTAGAAGCATTCAACTGAAGGAATTACTGCTATACTTTGTATGTTCTGTTGAGAAAGGAGTCGCTAATAGTGATATGACTCATTAGTATCACTATGCACAGCGTCCTTGTTACAAACAACAAGATATATCATTGTGCAGGGGAATGGGTGCGTCCCATCATATGACACTTGGGTTTGTGTAATTATGAAAACAATATTTTTGTCTCTCAGTTGTTCAACAACAAAAATTATAGCTGGACATGCTGATTGTGGTGACCAATGTGTTGAAAGTAATAAAAAATAAATTGAACAACACCTTTCTGAAAAAAAAATGTTATTCTAGAAACTGGCCGACAAATTCTACCTAATGGCTACCGCTAAACAAAGGCTTCATATCGTTATAATGCAATGTGGCCGCAGAGGTTGAATATCTAAGACTTACGATTGTTACGAATTGATCGAATACCTGACTCCATATTATAGAGACTACCCAACAAAGTATAACTTTTCCTTGTTTTAAAACGTAAATATGCTCTAATTATATTATAATGTGTGGTGTCAAATGCCGAAACTCCGTGAAAATCCAGGGGTAGAACAGATCCCTAGCATCCCGGCTTGAGGTAAGTAAATAAAACCGGATGGCCAAGCTCTGTCACATGTCTTAATTTGTTTCATAACTTAAATCGTACTCTACAAAAGTATTTATTTTGTCCCTGTATACAAGTTCATTTTGGCATGTTTTGTACATGTTGTACGAGCCGACTTAATGGATCTGAGACCCGTGAAGGTCCGGATTAGAATAGGTCTTCGGTAACCCATGCTTGCCGTAAAAGGCGACTATGCTTGTTGTAAGAGGCGACTAATGCCATAGTAACCCAATTACGTGGATCGATGCTCATGATATCGATCACTGGATTGTCTAGTCCAGATTTGATATTTACAGACCGCCGTCATATAGCTGGAATATTGCTGATCGCGGCGTTTAACCACAAATAAACAATAACTTTGGATGTTTACGTCGTACATATTTATCCGTATGTTACCCCGACGGTTACCGTTCTTATCCGTTGGCATTATCCTGCCGAGAAACCTTCTTATTATATGATAAAGAATGTTATAAATACAATGTTTATTCCTAATACACATATTTTCCCCAAAAAACACACGAGCATGATAACCTCTATTATATTAGGCGACAGTAGAGACTTAGACGTGTTGAACTTAAAATTAAAGAATTAGAAATTGACCTTGTAATTTAGAATTGATATTTAAACATTGTGACCTAAAAAGATGAAAGCGGACATTGGCAAACAATTGAAAATTTATATGAAAGTAAATGTTTCGCGTTTTGCATTTGTACAAAATTTACTTACAGTCGGGTGTTCACGTCGAGTATATAATCACTACACCGCCCCATAGTCAGCGTTCTACAACAAGCCAATGACGTCTAATATAACGCGATATACTTAATTCATAATAAACACTCACGTGGTGTTCATGTCATATTTTATCAAATGAAAACGTCGCCCAATATGTTCCATAACGTTTCATATTGACTATTACAATTATATCCTAAATGTTAATTAATAACGTGTTTGTCGAACAATGATATTTGTAACATCTGTTGAGAACGTTAGCGTTCCCCTTTCTCTACCTGCCTGCCGTTCATCTACTATCTGTACAAACCAGACGGTGCCGCGGTTCCCCCGGAATATAATTCTATCTCTGAAATCGGTATGTTATTTTTCTCTATGGCAATATAACATCATGTCGGGACTACCCATACCCTTCAGTTGGATATTAGTGTCCTTATCCGAACGGTAAGGACACTGTTGGTAGAAAAGGGTTTTTTAGGGTCCACGAACAGTTGTAGGTTGGAAAGGTAGGCTCCACGGTCTGTTGTCCCTTTTATAGCGAGACGTTGTAGGTTGTGAGACTGTCTCCGTGTATTTGGTAATGATTAATGTTAGAATGATTTACTTCATAATAATTGAGTTTGTCATCAGTGGTGGACTTGACTCAGGTACGACTGCCAATTTACCCGAGCACGGTTCCCCTTTATAGACGAACAGTGCAGCTGAGGAAGTCATCAGCTGACGACCAACATGGAAAGAATGAACAGCGTGGAAGCCAGGTAAGAGCAAGAAGGGCTATGAGAGAATTGACCGTTTACTTTTCATCATGCAACCTCGAAAGATTTAACACGGGGTATTCCGAACGCCTGTTACGGGCTTTACGACTGAATCCAAACAGTTTGGACCATCTACTAGCCAATCCACCTTTTGTTCAGTTTTCAGTTTTGAGTCGAGAATTTTGCGAAATGTGTTTCAAAGGCGTAGTCGACAGTTTGAAACTAGTGCCGTAAAGCACAAGAACGCTGCCTTCTGATTGGCTAACGTCGACTCTTGTCAGTCATTGCATTGGTCGGTCAAAGTTCGCATTAAATGACAACTTAATTTAATGTCCCCTGATTTCAAATAAAAAGATGTTGGTTACCACGTGCACATTGCATGAAATATGTCTACTCTGGTTTTTTTAAATACAGACTTTATGCCCCATTCCGTCACCTAGAGAGAATGGGATACAGGTTAAGACTTTGGGAGGACGAGGCGCTTGCTGTTGTAGACGTTCCGGGTCCTTCTGACGACGCCTTTGACGTCGACGGTAATACGATTGATTAAGTAATAATAATAAAAGTAATATGATGATGATGATATTGTGCATCAAATCCACATATTTAATGCGCAACGTTGTAACCCCAATGGATCAGTGCTCTCAGTCTTCATGCTCTGTTCCCTGGGGAGTATACAACCCGTCCTGCCTGTAGTGGAAGTAATGGCGTTTGGCCTTGGTCCACACACACACACACACAATACATTTACTGAAGGGCCATATATGCGCATATTTGAGGGTTGTCTGGACAATTATAAGGGATAGGCAGGAACAGTTGACATGGTGGCAAGTGGTGTAATGTTCATGTGCAACTGGCTTTATTTACTTGAATCTGGTAGAGGAACTTAAACACCAGCTTACAGTATCAAAAGAATTGAGTTCTAGTTTATAGGGTTTATCTGATGACATTATTCTTTCCATTTCAGGAAACTGCCATGTGTGGAGTATTGTAAAGGTAATAGGTGCAGCTATGCATTTTGCACACAATTATCCCCTGGGCGAAAGGGGGCGATCCTTCTTGGACTACGGAAAACTAACCGATGGATTGTACACGTTTATGGCTTCCTCATCCTTTGACTTTGCGAGATCCATGTATGATCCCGATGTGTCAAAATGGCCTCTCAAGGTCAATGTACAGCTCGGGTACATCGGGAAGTCTTCTACCAATTTCGTCAGTAATGTAGTTGTACCATCATCGGGTGAGATATTGGTAAGAAACATCAACCAGTTGGTTGCCATCGACAAGGAAACGCGCAAACCGACGCCATTCCCGTCATGGTGGAAGGAGAAACATGGCGAGAAAGCGGTCAGAAAGGAACCACTGATTATACAGAAGCTCTCCAAGCCTGACAACGCCCACACATACACCTTGCGTGTGTCGTGGAGCGAAACGGACATGTACAATCACGTCAACTGGGTGTCCTATGTGGTGTACTCCATCGATGCCCTCCATCATGGGATAAAGGAGGGCAAGTTGAAAGGCATGGACAAGGAGGTGGTCAAGAAAGGAATACAGAGGATGCGGATGGCTTACTTTGGTGAATGTGTCGAAGGAGACCAGTTGACGGTTTACTTCTGGGAGGTGGAAGACCAGCCTAGAACTGTATATTTTGACATAGAAAAGTTTGGAGTATCCGTCTTTCAAAATACATTAACATACCATCAGTAGGAGTGTTTCCCGAAAATACATTGACATAGCTCCAGTGGGAGAAATCATTGTAAGTGCATAGACATATGAATGGGATGTGGAGAACTAAATGTATGGGACTTTAGTTCTGCAATTTGTCACAAGATTTATATGTGTAACATATGAGTGTTTATAAAATAAATGAGAGAGTGAGTATGGTTTTTGGCCGCTTTTAGCAATATCCCAGCAAAATCACGGAGGGGGACACCAGAAAGTGGCTTCACACAGTGTATCCATGTGGGAAATCGAACCCGGACCTTCGGCGTGACGAGCGAACGCTTTAACCGCTAGGCTACCCCACCGCCCCCATATGATAGATGAGAACGTGCACCTGTTCATGATATTTAATAAAAGGTATATTGATTGGTTGATATCAGGTAATGGATATTTGTTCAGGTATTGTGGTGTCGTTATTGACATGTGTTATTAATTTTGCACTAATGGTTTCTCGAAATGGACGTCGGTCATTTAATTGGATATTTGGGTGTGGGGGTGTCTCATCTCATTCATGATCTCTTATCTGACAACAATATGTATTCAAAAATCATTTCATGCTGCATAAAACATATATGCAATATCAATTATTCTTTGTCATGGTTTCGGTTAAAGTAAATGTGCTTGTAGGGCAAGGTGAAATTGGGTTTTAAATCGCATTCAAAATTGCTGCACTAATATAGCAGCGTGCGTGCACGTGTGCGTGTGACTGCTTGTACTAGTCCGAACGTATGACGGTTTTATAGTGCGAGATACCATGCCGCAGTTTTCGGATACCACCACAGATACACAATATACTGACTCCGAGCCGAATAGTCCTTGTTTTATTCCCTTAGGAACCGACCATTCGATACCCAGGGTTGGGGTTGGGGGTGAGGGGTATTTTTTATCAAGATTAGATATTTTTCAGCGACAACTACAAAATGAGACATTATTTTCTGTAAAACTATGAGCCTGAAGCATTATTATTTCTTTCAAAAACTTTCGGGACGATGTATTTTTTTCGATAAAATCCCAGGACCCACCAGAATATCCAATGGTTGGTTCCTTAATGCCAGGCAGGGTAACACGTACCAGTTTGTAACCTCTTTTGGTTTGACCACGGAGGCGGTCAAATGTGCTGATTCTTACACTTCACCGTCGTATAGATGTACAGCTAAAGGTGGAACAGGTTAAGGGTGGGGGTGGGGTGGGGGGGGGGGGGGGGGGGGGGGGGGGGGGAGGGTGGGGGGGGGGGGAGATAATTGAAGGGTTAGTTCAGCTTTCTGGCTTTTCCCTCCTGCGTGTAGTTTTCACTGATATCCCTTCGCTTGTACTTCATAGCAAAATATTCGTTGGCATTCTGGTTTAAGATTAGGTCGGTGGTCAGGACCAATGACTTGGTTGATTGCGTGTCATCGAACCCCGACAGCGAGTGTCGTTTCTCAAAATATCAGTCACTGGATTGTCTGGTCCAAGCTCCAAATTACAGGCCATCACCATATATCTGGAATATTGCCGAGTGTAAGGTTAGACAACAAACAACCTAAAAACCTTCTGTATTGATGTTTTAATAAACTGTCTGAGATTCCAAAAAGTGTTACCTTTGTTGAAGCTTTGGTCTATCTGGATTAAAGGAGCTGCCAATCATGATATGTGTAACCAATACTTAATCTCATGCTCTTCAACGTTGTTGCCCCCAGCTTTGAAATTTAGAAACGTTTCTGGGTCAGACTGTACCCTTATCAAACCTAGTCTATTGACAGCTGACACTTCGAGATTTAAAATCGGAATGTAGAATCCTCAATCGTGATAAACAAACGTGCTTTGGTATATAGTCTGGCCCAATTTCTGAACATCGAAATGTACAGTTCTGTCATCCTGGTCCGACGCCCACACTCCAATAGTAAGCTCATCGTTCTCTAAACTTTCTCCCATGTAAGTGTTCCTCATGGACTTGATACCACGCTTTACAACGTCCTTGGTCAGGGCTCCCATACAACCTTTCTCTATAGCATAATGCAAAGCGTTGATGCAGAAGTACGCATAGTATGCGTAGTTGGTATGATTGTGATTATCAGTGTGCATCCAAGCAACCTTGACATTGTACTGCACAGCGCCACCTGGCCGTTCAATTTTTGGAACTATCAGTGGACGTTTCAAAATGGCGGATCCGCCATGTTTCTCTCGCCACCAATCCGGAAGTGGTTTGGGTCGTCTGCTTGTTTTATCCATGCCAACAAGATGGTTGATGTTTCTGAGGATCGTCTGTCCGGTTGATGGAACAATGATGGAACCTACTGAACTGAAGGATGACTTGCCAACATACCCGAGTTGATATAAAACATCTAAGGGGTTCTTGGGTACAGATATGTCATACAACTCCCTTTCTGTAACAAACTCGGATGATGCTGCAAACCCCAGTCTGTCCGAGGTGAGTTCAGAGTAGTCGAATACCGTCCTTCCAGACACATCCAGGGGAAAATGAGAGGCAAATATTCTTGCTATGGTGATGAATCGCATCAGGCTCGGCATTGAGGGATTTCCTGCATAGGAGAAGTCTTGTTAATACATTTTAGTCTATATCAAAGCCTAGTTTCTACCCTTGCATATCAAGCCCACTTGTTTAGGCTCGATCGTAATGCTACCTTGCGTAGATCACAAGTTGTGCCCCTTGTAAACAAGTAGAGATTGCTGCAGAGCATCAATAGCTCCCCGCAATATAATGTTATGTGCAGAGGAAATAAGTGTAAGCTATGGGAGGAGAGAATTTGTGTTCAGTACAAATTGGTTGTTATAAATGTACTTATCTTTGGAAAGCACAATAAAAGAAACAGTGTCTTTAATTGGTCAGCACAAAGAAAACCCAGGCAAGAAAACTGGGCCTGTCAGGCAAAACTTCATATATACCCATTATTAGTACCAATAAAAAAATCCTATATAGATAACACAACAAATGTCATTCTAAAGCATGCTTTTGCAGCAAATATCAATATTTCTGGTCAAAATGTTGGTTGGGTTAAATAAAGCAAACTTTTAAAATAGTAAACACAAAAAAATGTAATGAATCCACTCTAAATATACTTCAGTTCAAATGTAAAAATTCACGCAATCATTAATGGATTCCCATTTATCTAGCAACTAGTTAGGAACATACAGTTTGGTTACGTTATCTATAAATATTGAGAATTATCTTACATATTGTAAAAACAAAGGCCATAGTTCACTTTTCTCAAAAATTCGTTTAAGTAAACAGAAACTAAAAATTGTAGATATACAACAACAACAAAAAAACCATTTGAACAACGTCTCTGTGAAACATGTGATGTCTCAGAAGATGAACAACATTACGCACTGTCTTACATAATACAACCAAGAAAGAGAATCACAAATAATCCCCAATCATGATAAAGAATTTGGTACACTCTGTTAAAAGGTGCAGATTCTTAATAAGTTTACCAACAGTTATCCAGAAACAGCTTCCAAGATCTGTTAACATATCAACAATTACAAACAAATTCCTTGTACATGTATGTACAACCTTACCATAGTTTTGCTCAATTCTCATATTGTTTCCATATCATTATAATACACTTGTTTTAGAAATTAAATTGTTATAATGTACCTCTTTTGAATGTTGAATGTTCCTGTGTTTTTTAATTGTCGTTTATTGTGCATGTATTTTGTAGTTTGTGATTGTGTAATATTGCCACTGTTTCTTCATGGAATGTTCCGCAATACATATCTCATCTAAAACATCTTTGTTGTATAATAGTTTCTTACAGTTGTTTACGGGGGCATGGTTGGCCCAGTCGCCGAAGGCGCTGGAATTCGCTTTGCAGAGTTGTGTCCCTTGGGCACGCCAGAAACCTATGACAGTGTGTTTGAATCTCGGTTCGCCCCGATTTTGTTGTCAGCACAAAACCCTTACTCGTTGGTTTCACCAAAGTGGTGAACGTCTAAGACCTGCATCACTTCAGACTTTCCTCTCCCACATCAAGCTGACACGGAATACTGTTCAAGACGGCGTTAAACCCAACTACCTCACTCACTCTTGTGTATGGTTCCGTTTGGTTAACTGGGTTTGTGTTGTGATTGCTTCCGGCTTAGATTTGAAATTTGTTTAGAAGAATTGTACTATGTTCAACCCAAACATCGTGAAGATATCATGCAACCGTATTATCTTTTGGGAAAATAATAGCAAACTACAGACCAACCTGTCGATTTCCTATGTATCCAGAAGCAAAGAACATATACGGGTGTATGATCTCTGCTGGAAGTTAATTTTTTTTTGGTCAAAGCAATAAACCATGCAGAAACGTAAACCATACATTATATACAGTGAAGTATTTAAAACAATGCCGTCAACTATGCACAGCAAGCGCCATACTTGTGATTATGAAGACAACTAATAAAAAAATCCTCATATCAAACCCGTTGTTTTACATGTGTTGTTTTTTTAAGAAAGTCATACTTTATAGAAGCCTGTTATTTAATCTTGTTGAAAAATATGTTGCAATAGCAGTGTGAAAATTGAGTGCGCGTGACAGGCTTGGCCAAATTTCCTTCCTGGAACGTTTCTCGATGGCTGCCTGAATAACATACGATACATTGCAAAGGTAGTGCGCAATTGAGCTGTTTGGGTAAGGGAGATAATCACTCACTCTCAGTGATACAGCTTGAATAAGATACGATGTACAGCAATGCAAGGTCAGTGCGTGAATTTATCACTTCTATACTACGCCTATAGCTAAAGGAGATAATCGCTCAATGCGCAATAGTTTATTCTTACAAAATATAGACCGGTTAACTTTAGCGAAATGGGATCATTTTTAGCTCTTTTAAAAACAAAATGAACAAATTTCATGGGTTATCAGCATTACGAAAAGTAACTAAGTCTCAGAATAGCAAGACGATTTGGAGGTATCTCTTATTGCTGGAAAAGATAAACATCAACATTTCACGCACATTTCACATGATTTGTATGTTTCGTTTCGGTAACTGTGTGGCTTGAAATTTCAAAGAAACCAACATGTCGACTTACATGCTACAAAATTAACCTCTCCCGTATACTTCCCCGCCTTAAGGGCGGGGAAGAATAAACGTAAACGCGATATCCCATCATATCGCTGTTCTCAGTTCGTATGGCTTCACAAACATGTCGACAACCATAGATGACGATCTTTTCGATCAGATAACGAAAACATTCGCGATTTCACCACGTACAGACAAACAAAGGATGTTGATTTTATTAAACGTTCTCTGATTGGACTATCGGTATATCCTCGTTCCAATCATAATGAGCACTGAAAAGAGGGCTTGATGTGGCTAGGGTGGAAACGAGACTTTGATAATTAGTGGACGCTCTTTCCTCGGAAAGATGTCATGAAAAATAATGAACATAAGAAACCTTCGGCGTCCATACACCTTGGGTGAATGAGTGATTTTAAAGACGCTTAAAAGCTTTGAACAGTATTTAGGTTATATCGCGGCATGTCGGTTTGATGTGGTGGGACAGACCAAAGCGATTCACGTCTTTGTAACTTTGTAAAATCCAACAGCACTGACAAACAGAGAATCATTATCAGGCTGTATCATGTCTGATTCGTAAATCCTGTCGCACGCACGCACTCAAACTCTAATAGCTCGTTTGCTTAAAGTGAGGTCAAAGGGAGTTCAACCTTGCGTTCAAGAATATTTCACTTGTACAGTGACGTGCATGTTTCTACTAGTTCTGACTAATGCTGGTTTAATAGCGTTAGTCCGTTGAGATACAAGTTTAACATAGGTACACCTCTCACACATACTGACACCGAGCCGCCCAGTCCTTGTGAGCGCCAGGTAGGGTAACAACAAGTACCATCTTTAAAAGAATTTTGGTATAACGCGGTCGGGGATCGAACCACCGACCTCCGCTATCCAGGCAGACACTCTATCCACTCCACGAGGGAGGCGGTAGGTTGGTTATGGACTCACTTTGTTAAATCACAAACATTAATCTAATACGAGAAAAATACTAATATATGCGACACAAACACTATATTTACCATCTCTGTCCATGGATTCAAGTGAAAAGCCTGGAGTGTGTACGACTGACCGGGTCTCCGTCTTGTCCACTGTCTGACTGTACCCCATATTCGTCATGCTGGCCAAGAAGCGGCTGTAATGATTGAGTGAATTGTGTTTTACGCCGCAGTCGGTCCAACTATATCATGATGACCTGTACATAATATAGTCTGGGCCTTGCAACAAGTGGCTGATAGCATGAAGATTGAAAGAGTATGGTCTTACGCAGCTTTTAGCAATATTCCGACAGTATCACGTCGAAAATGAGCTTTACACATTGTAACCGCATGGGGAATCGAACTCGTGCATTCGGCGTGACGCGCGACCGCTTTAACCGCTAGGCTATCCCACCGCCCCGCATGAAGAATGATCCAGGCTGCCAGGTCATTGAAATCATCATTAATTTTCTAACTAGAACTGGATGATTGATATCTTGTTTACCTGAATTCCCTTTAGGTTTGGTGAAGGTTATACTCAGGGTTATAGCTGACTTCCGTTATGTTGTAAGAATGTCTTTGGTTTAACGCCGCTTTGAACAGTTTTTCAGGGTTTTTTTAGTGTGGAGACCCAGGACCATGGGTATGATACTTAAAAAATCTTGAATCATAACCAGGAATTATTAGGGATTCGAGTTGCATAATATTAGAGACAGAAATTCAATACAATAATACATAATAAAATTTCATTTCTAAAAATCTGAAAATATACATAGGATATGTAAGGTAGAAAATTAATGGATAATCTTGTCAAGTATTTACAACTATGTAAACAACAACAAAGATTGTAGGAATCGGTATTGCTGCAATTTGGCAGATTACGTATTTTTAGCAATTGTTGAAGTACAGTACACGTCCATTGTGTATGATGCATCATGGCGTAATACTTCCCTAATTCCGCTCAACAAATCATTGTACATAGCATCATTTTCAATTTATTAGAGGATAAAAAACATCTGACCCACCAATCCTGTAATCAATGACCGGTTCCTTATACAGATTTCCTTTCAAATAAATTTCCTTACTGGGATGTAGTTTCCACATTCTTTAAAGATATTATTAAAGTAGCTCTGTGAAAACAGTGTTAGATTTCACACATTAACCATAAACACATCAGTGTTCAAGCTGCTATCTGTCTTCCATATTTTAAACTATGAAACACACATTTCAGTGTTGAAGTACGAATATATTCTGTCATTTGAGAATGTTTATTATTTCAAATTAATTATTATAATAATATAATATTCAGTATCAATATTACATGTTTAATAAATATTAATTTTATTGATTTTATTCATTAATTTGTCATTTTTTTATTTTTTTATTGAAAACAATCCCGTCCTCTTGTCAGAACAGAGCAGAGCAGAACAGAACTTTATTTACGCTCAGGCCGGGATCCTCGGCATATGAGGTACAAATTTGCAAACAATTTTTTACATAAGATGGCGGGGTGGTTTACATGAAAGATTTTACAGTTTTCATAATGACTTTACAGAATGTACAAAGCTTTTTAATGACATTTATTTTTTTTACAATTAAAAAAATCTTTAAATTTAATCATATTCGGGGTTTTAGCATATGAAATTGGAACATATATTTTCCGTTGGTGTTTAAAAGGACAAAGATAAATATAATGAAATTCATCACCAACATCGCTCATGTCGCAGAGTTTACACGTTCGTTCACTGGCAGGGAGTGTGTGCCACCTGCCTAGTTCATTAGGTAAATGGTGGCATCATGTACTAAACAAAGAGAACTTTACAGCCAAAGAGAAACGGATAACTATTAAATATTTTTCAAGGACGAGTTCTGTTTTAAATATGCAATATGTGATACCTTTAGAAGAATTTGTAATCTCTGCACTCCATGTTTGAGTTGCTGTATCAGATAATCATGACGAAATTATAGATTTAAGGCCATTAGGAGGAACTGCTTGTTGGTTCAACCAATAAAAGCTGTAGCCCGTTTCATTGAAAATACTTTCCAAACATTTTATCCATTTTTGACAGCTGTTTACACAGACTTCATTATATAACATTTGATATAGAATTCTTGATAACTTTTGTTCATTTAAGAATTGACCTTCACTTTGTGTGAGTTCATTGTAGTATGAACCTTCATAGAGTGAGGGCCAAACTGTATGAACGTCAATTTCGCGATCATTTGACCGACCTCTCGTCCAATGGAAAAGCCGTATATCGTGTAAACTTCAAATTAAAAAACTATTGCCAGATAAAAATAAGACCTTAGCCCAAAAACATACCATTCGACATTTGATAGAATTAATTAAAGGTATCCTTCCAAGTTCTCCATACAACATGTATAAAGCCGTACTTTTTTAATGGGAAGTAATTTTCAACCCCAACGTTCTGCCACACCCGACACTGACCCGATGGAATTAACATTTTATGGAGCTTCACTGACATACGGCAACTAAGGGGGGTAACTCTAATCTCCAGTGCTTGCAACCTTTGACCTAAACAAAGGGGCACCGACAAACTCCAGTTTTTACCACTGTTCACAAGAAAACATTGATGCAGAGCATCAAAGTTCCCGCCATATGTGATGCCTCACAAACGCATAATTATGATGTTACTGAAAGGCATGAAGGAGCATAATTATATTAACCACAAATAACACAACGTTGTTGCGGGAAAAAATGTTATGTATTTTGAGTATTGGGCAATACAGTTGATACATTTGCATAGGGTAGGTTTATTTTAAAATAGTTTCTTGTTTAACGCCGCACTCAGCAGTATTCCAGCCATATGACGGCGGTCTGTAAATAATCGAGTCTGGACCAGATAATCCAGTGATTGACACCAAGAGCATCGAACTACGCAATTGGAACATGATGTTATGCATCGACCAAATCGGCGAGCCTGACTACCCAATCCTGTTCGCCGCCTCTTACGGCAAGCATGGGTTGCTGATGACCTATTCTAACCAGGGTCTTTATCTAAAAAGTAGATCGAAGGAAATGGAAGCAATTTCTGGCTCAAATGTAAATATGTGGAAATAGTATCAAAACTGCCAACAACATTGGCAGATGCACATACTCAAATAATAGATCACATTCTTTTTACACTTGGAATTGGTTAGAAATGTAAATGAAAATACTAAGGTCTTTTTGTCACAACCACAGATGAACATACTCAAAATATTATCACGTAGATGGAGAACATTTCAATACCGGGACTAATCAATAACGGAGATTCCTCGTCTCTTGTATTACGTTTTTTGGTCAGTTTCTTTTTTGTATTTCTTTCTTTCAAAGAATAGTAATTGTGATCATGATGAGTTGAGTTACTTAGTCTTTTTCTATGTACTGTTTTTTATCCAGTGTCAGTAACTGTTGTGGAATGTGGTTTACTAGTAACAATGACTGGTTTGAGTTCATATGATGATGATTGATTGGTTTGTCGTTTAACGCCGCACTCAGCAATATTCCAGCTATATGACGGCGTTCTGTAAATAATCGAGTCTGGACCAGACAACCCAGTGATTAATATCATGAGCATCGATCCACGCAATTGGGATCGATGCCAGGCATCAACCAAAGTCTGACCACCCGATCCCGTTTGTCGCCTCTTACGACAAGCATAGTCGCCTGATATACTGTTAAGCTGTAACATAACAATTCATCCATACTACTAAACAGAAGTAAAACCGCTAGTCCATTCTGATCCAAACCATTCCGCTGATGAGAGTCAAATAATGCATACGAATCAAAATCCGTAAAAATTGCAATGGAGACATCATTAAAAGATACCAAAAGTGACGGGGATATCAATATTGCTTGTTGAAATGATTCTGTGAAATTTGTTTTCCCTGCTTCTATATTTGTGGCACCTGTGGCACTTATCTGTTATGTAGACAATATCGCTTAGGGAAGTGGCTGCTGGGAGCTGATTATGACCTCCATATCCCTCATAGCCTTCGGTGTTAACTATGTGACTCTAGACAGCTGCGCCTTCATTCAACAGATTATCGAGGTCAGTGGAACACGGTACAGACGCAAATAGATTTGAGCCATGGGACACAAAATATATGAGTGACCAGAGCTTCGGCTGTACATTGAATTCCATTAAACGGTTGAAAAAGGCTACAGCCTTGATGCAAATTCGCCGACACACTACTCCGATTTTGCTTTGACTTTGATCTCAAAGGTTTCACATGTGGCTATGTGCGGTGCACTGATTAAAAAAACACGGGGGGCTGGGTTAATTCAAAATACGGAATATAACTATTCCAAATATTTCCATAGGAAATGAGCATCCAAACAATCAAAAGTGTGGTATGTAGAATGTGGAATTCAACCATATTACATTTAAGTTGAGATGTCGTCGTTGTCCATGAATAAGCATATTCAGAACATATTTTATATTATGCTGTTATTTACGATATCCGGAGTACAGTTCTTCTTTTGTATACACCGTGAAAATCAGAAAATTAGTCCTTGAGGTAAAAAGGACATCGGATTACACATGAATGGTTTAATAATGTCAGCTAATGACCAGAAACGGTCAGATGCATCAATTAACTACATAAAGATGATTTTGAAGTATCTCTTATTGCTAGAAAAGAATAGCATCAACATTCCACGCACATGATTTGTATGTTTTGTTTCCGTAAATGCGTGGCTTGAAATTTCAAATAAACCAACATGTCGACATACAAGCTACAAAATTAACGTTTCCCGTATACTCCCTCGCCTTCAGGGCGGGGAAGAATAACAAAACAAGGAACGTGTGCTCTTTTCCTGAACGAACAACTAACCTGGACATAAGTCCTGAAGTGACACGATCACTCTGTTCCGGTGTCTCGTATGTACTCCAATGTCGCCTCAGATACGAACACGGTTGATAAAGAACAGCACATCTGAAAAGCGTCGGCAGTGGAAGGAGCCGGTAGATACCGGCTGTGGTGTGAGTGGGAAACATCACAATAACTTCGGCAACAATGCAGTTTACCGGGCGCAGCCCGAGCTCTACCATCCGCTCAATTACCGCGCTATAGTGCCACCGCTGTCTCGTTATACCGTTACCGTGCCTCACGCTCTGGTGACTCTCGCTTCACGATCCAACACCCGTTTTTCGGTCTTAGGGAAACTTACACGTCTTTACGATCCAAAACCCCTTTTCGGTCATTAGGGTCAGCTGGCTTTGGGCAAGGGTTACAAAGCCGGTGAGCCGGCGAAGCGCGTTCGAGCCCCCACAGCGCTAATTGGATCTTAAAAAGTGCGCCCGGTAAAGTGCATCAAGGTTTAATCAGTCAAACTATTTGTCGTGGCTTGTCAGCGCAACTACTTCCCTGTGTTCTACACGGACATGGTCAGGGAAATGATGCGCCTACCTTTGACTGGTTTTCTGTCTCGGTACACGGATCTAGTGAGTCGGCGAAGCAACCGTCCAAGATTTGTGTGTTTGTTGTTTAACGCCGCACTCAGCAATATCCCCGCTATATGACAGCGGTCTGTAAATAATCGAGTCTGGACCAGACAATGCAGTGATCGATATCATGAGCATCCACCGTCCAAGTGTCCAGTGCCCTATCCTGTTGGTGCTGGCGTCTTCATTATTAAAGAAAATTGAGATATATGTCTAGGTTTAGCTGATCACATATTTCATTATGTAAATGATTAAGTTATTAATTAATATCACGACACCAGGGCCTATACGAATAAGTTGCCGACATCTACTGAATTCCTGAGGGCGGTACTCATCATGCATTATCAAATCTAATTAGTTTTATTTATTGATTCATTAATGAATAAATGCATTTTATAATGTGTGATATAGCAATATTCCACAAATATCAAGGCGGGGGACACCAGAAATAGGCTAACACATTGTACCCATGTCGGGAATCGAACCCGGGTCTTCAGCGTGACGAGCGACCGCTTCAACCACTGGGCTACCCGACCGTCTCAAATGCATTTTTAAAAATATGATTAACATGGTATCAATGGTATATATATATGTATTCATATATGCGTCAGGGAAAATTGAATGTCGATTGTTGATATAAATAAATCAACAATGCTACTAACTTTGATGAAGATATTGCATCTCTTTTGCTATGTTCTGCGTGTTATTTTGAACTTTCTTGTCGCTTTACATGCATTGAAGGGAAATAGTGCAATGGCAGTTTCATATCATGTCACGATTGGAAAAGGGAGTTAACTCTTACTGGTTTACACTTCCGCGACACACTAATATATTTTGACGTTACAACTTTCAAGTCCACTATTTGTGGTACCCCTAGCGGTATGTGAACCCTGAGTGATAAACTGAAATATGGTCGTTTTTCAAAGATATTGAATTCTCTTATTTCACCCGTAGCTTAACGGTAGTGTTTATATAAACTAGATATTAGTTGAAAATTTTATGTACGCTTTTAAATTATTTTCTGAAACATGATTTTGTAACAGAAACTGGTCAAAATAGCACACAATTAAAATATGTATGATCAAACATACTTGCGAGTATTATCACAATTATTATCTTCTATATGTGCTTCTATATGTGGATATTCCTTTGTTTAATCTTCACTTAAATAATAAACTTAATGATGTATGTAAAACATGTAAATTATACAAAGCACAATAAAATCATCCTTCTTTTGAACCTGTCCACTAACAATTTCCCGCGGCAGCATGTCAACAGTTAGGTTAAAAGACACCGTCACGACAGTCGTCGGACGAACAGGCCAATATGTAGTTAAACATATTATACTCTTTGGTACCCTTATCAAAGGGTAATGTGACAACAACAAAAAGCAATATCAGGAACACGGTTGTGAACTTTTGCGCAATAGTGTCGAAATCTAATCAATACTTATACGAATCTGCCAATTTCAAAAACTTGAAATGTGACACAAACAGTATGTTACTATAAACAACTCTTTCACTATTCTCCCGAAAAATCTTGAAAAATATAATTATGTTTCAGACTGTTCAAAATAAAAGAAGCATTTGCCTCCGCCAAAAAATAAATTTTATTGTTGCAAGGGTTTTCTCTTAATAAATCAACTTTAGGCTCGTAGTTTTCAATTAAAAAAATAGCTGGCTTTGTAGCACGGTTAATATCGGAACAAAATCAGATCTCAGTTCTGGCTACCGCTGAAGAAAGACCTGAGGTTCACCTCAGAACGACTTTTCATCCGACCAATCAGAGCGGCGCTTACCAGACCAGATCAGGAACGTGACAGCTACTAAGCGGGAATGTATTTTCTAATCATACAACTTCGAAAATTTAACACTGGGTATCACTTCGGGCTTTCCAATATATATATATATCTATATATATATATATATATATATATATATATATATATATATATATATCACACACACAGGGTTGGTTGGTTCGTTGGTTTGTTGATCAACGTCGCACTCAGCAATATTCCAGCTATATGACGACGGTATGTAAATAATTGAGTCTGGACCAGTCAAGCCAGTGATTAATATCATGAGCATCGATCTACGCAATTGGGATACGAGGACATGCATCAACCAAGTCATCGAGTATAACCATCCGATCCCGGTATATTAGTCGCCTCTTACGGCAAGCATAGTCGCCTTTTACGGCGAGCATGGGTTGCAAAAGACCTATTCTGTACACGGGTCCGTAGATATTGAGATATAGAGGATAGATAAGGCGTTACTGTATTGTTAAAACAGTAATACTGCACTTCAACCTGATTTGATAACATTTCATTTTGTCGTAAAACCTTTACTGGAGAAAAACTTAACGATAAAATATTTTGACTGCGCCATGACATCACTCACTTTCTTTGTGGATTGGTCAACAAACGTTGTGACCTTGACCTTTCTCTCAGTCGCCGAATACAGGGTGGTGAATGTGTTTGTTTTATACTTCATCAAATTACATTATTGGTAATAAACTGAATAATAACTCGCTTCATATTTGACATCAAGTTTATGTCCTGAGAAAAGTAATTTTTAATATGCCCGAGACATACATCTATTTCCATCAATACAAATTATCACTCATAGCAAATAGGATCACCAAAACACCCAAAACATCATTCAGTCATCATGATAAACAAACGTGCTTTGGAATATTGACTGGCCCAATTTCTGAACATCGAAATGTACAGTTCTGTCATCCTGGTCCGACGCCCACACCTCAATAGTGAGCTCATCGTTCTCTAAACTCTCTCCGATGTAAGTGTTTCTCATGGACTTGATACCACGTTTTACAACATCCTTGGTCAGGGCTCCCATACAACCTTTCTCTATAGCATAATGCAAAGCGTTGATGCAGAAATCAACATAAGTGGTGTAGTTAGTATGATTGTAATTGTCAGTGTGCATCCAAGCCACTTTGACATTGTATTGAACAGCCTCAGCAGGTCTTTGCAGTCTTGGAACTATCAGAGGATCCTTAAAGATGGCGGATCCGCCATGTTTCTCCCGCCACCAATCAGGAAGTGGTTTGGGTCGTCTGCTTGTTTTATCCATTCCAACAAGATGATTGGTGTTTCTGAGGATCGTCTGTCCGGTTGAAGGAACAACGATGGACGCTACAGTACTTAGGGATGACTTGCCAACATACCCGAGTTGATACAAAACATCTAAGGGACTCTTGGGTACAGATGTATCATACATTGCCTTTTCTGATATCACCTCTGACGAAGCCACGAATGTCAGTCTGTCGGAGGTGAGTTGTGCGTAGTCAAAAATCGTCCTTCCAGTCTCATCAAGAGGAACGTGGGTGGCAAATACTCTTGCTGTTGTTGCAAATCTCATAAGACTCGGCATTAAGGGGTTCCCTGCAAAACAAAGCTTCCGTCTTAACCTAATTTGTCAATAATCGAAAACGTTCAGTTGTTGTGAATATCTTTTTAGAAACATAATATGGTTATTTTGCAATACAACACGGGTTTTTTCATTAAAGCATTGACCCTCATCTGACATATGGAAGATATATTGATAATTGGTGGCCATATTGGATTATGCAAATTAGCCATATTTCCCAAACTGGGATTGCTTGGGACTTTTAGTATGTTGTTTTCGGGACCGTGTAGAAATGCATTGTGGTAAAATAAATTCTGTTGCAGTTTGTTCCAAGTGAAACCTTATTTTGCCTGGACTATAAGCATTAAAGGGAAAGTAAAGCCAGCATAGGAACTTTGAAGATTTTAATACTTTAGGACACACTTATAATCATAATTTCTTGACCAAAATTTAATTTTTTAAAAACCGGAAATAGCGTAAAACAGGATAAAAACGGCAGGCATAATCGTCTCCCAAACGAAAAATTCCGCCACTTAGGGGATTCCCTTTGTGGGGTTAAAACGTGTACCCGGTCTTTGTTGCGCTGCGCAATGTCAACAATCACGACGATCGGGCTTCTGCTTCGGTGAGTGAGTATGATTTTACGCCGCTTATCCCAGCAATATCACGGCGGGGGATACCGGAAATGTGCTTCACATATTGCACCCATGTGGGGATTCGAACCCGGGTCTTTAGTGAGACTAGCGAAGGCTTAAACCACCAGGCTACCCCACTGCCCCCTTCTGCTTCGGATTCTCTAATACATTACGGGTAGCATTGTTGTTATTTTTTAAGGATTAGCAGAAATAGCAGAAACAGTACACGTTTAACCGGCTAAGAAACACAAGATAGATGAACTAGGCAAACATATCAGCCAATGAAAACAGTTGTTACGCTGCACCGGTAGCTTTAGGCCACGCCCCCAAATAGGTCTGTTTTGGAAGCCGAATGCGTGTGATTTCAGCACTTTCACATGGACATTTGAATGCATTCTACGAGTATTATGATTGTACGTACATTCGGAGTTTGAAATTTGCAATTTGATCTAAAACAAATAACATAAGGCCAAATATATCACAATCAACGTTTATGTCTTGTAAATACATCACACACGAAAAAAAAATTAAATAAAACATTGCTGACAATACACAAATGCAATGCTATTCATGAAAGGGGGCGGTCGGGTAGCCTAGTGATTAAAGCGTTCGCTCGTCATGCCGAAGACCCGGGTTCGATTCCCGACATGGGTACAATGTGTGAAGCCCATTTCTGGTGTCCCTCGCCGTGATATTGCTGTAATATTGCTTTAAGCGGCGTAAAACCATACTCACTCACTCATTATTCATGAAGGAATATCAGTTATTGAATTGATACGACCAACTACATTCGTAGAGGTTTAACGTTGCAAAAATGGATCTGGTGTTCACGTAATACAGATTTGTGGGAGGTTGGAGTTGTGGGGAAATGAGCTGCCGTTGTTCAACTGGGTTGGCTACATCTTAGGTTGGGTAAGCACAGCGCTTTAAGGAAATAGATCGTCTGAGTGAAGGTTTAACGATTTGAAAGTCACCTTCATGTTGAAGGTGAAATGATTAGGTGAAATGGGGGTAAACGTCACGTCCAAGATTATTGTATAGCAGCGTGCATGCACGTGTGTGTGTGTGTGTGTGTGTGTGTGTGTGTGTGTGTGTGTGTGTGTGTGTGTGTGTGTGTGTGTGTTCGCGTATGCTGTGCATGTGTCTGTCTGTGTGTCTGTATATCTGTCTGTGTGTGTCTGTCTGTGTGTGTGTCTGAGTCTGTTTGTGTGCCTGTGTCTGTGTCTGCTTGTACGGCTTCTTCTACTCGTCCGGACTGATGCCGATTTATAGTGCTAGCTCACTGAGATACCATGCCACAGTTTAACATTAATACCCCACTTAGACAAAGTATACTGACTCCGAGCCGACCAGTCCTTGTTTTAGCCCCATAATGCCGAGCGCCAGACAGGGTAACAACAAGTTACTGTACATCTCTTAATGTCTTTTGGTATGACACGGCCGGGATCGAACCCCGGAATTTCCGCTCTCCGGGTGGACGCTCTACCACTAGACCACGGAGGCGGTCACCTTCATGTTGAAGCTCGAGGTCACGAAGACCGAAGACATATCGCATCAGCTTCCTGATGACAATGAAACCAAGGGTCATAATTGGAACGAATATGGCATTAGAAACTACAAGCAGATCCTGGTATGGCTAAACGTTACAACTCCACTCAACGAAATACAGCACCTTAGACCAGTGGACAAATAATTCATCCTCAGCCAAATTTGGAGTTTTGCTGAGATCGCTTTGTGAAATGAGTTTTGGGTTGGCTGTTATATCCTTGAGGATTTAAACCAGGCTTCCTTACCTTAATAATACTTGGTTCAAAATATGTCTATGTTCACCCAGAACAGAGTGGGTACCCAATAGGAATATATGGTTAACAAGGTGGATTGTATACTCCTCAGGGAGCTGAGAATGAACATCGAGTGCACACTGATCCATTGACCTGGGTAATAATTGTCTGTGGACTATAAACATGATATCCAGCATGTACGCCATACAAACAGACTTTTATTATTATTACAAACAGGAATTTAAAAAAATAATTTCAAAAACCATTACCATCTCGGTCTATGGATTCATAAGACAACCCCGGCGTGTGTATCACTGACTCCTCCTCCGTCTCGGCAACTGTCAGGCGGTATATATCCTTCAGGTAAGCCATGTAGCGTCTACAACATGATTCAAGTCACACTGGTAAAAATGAATAAAAAAATGTATCCAGATAAATAGTGAGTTTGGTTTTTACGCTTTCTGCAGTGTTTCAGTTAGTTCTAGGCGTGTCAGCTTGTTTGGGAGGAAAGCCCACGGTTTGATTGTTTGTTTATTTATTTCTTGTTTAACGCCGCACTCAGCAATATTCCAGCTATATGACAGCAGTCTGTAAATAGTCCTATGAGGATATCAGATTATAACTTTGTGGCTAAATAAGTCACGTCATTTATCTATTAAAAGCCATGATCTAGTGACCCACTTTGGCCTGAACAGTTGGGTTATTTGGTTTATCGGGTGTTGACCACTCCAGTTGTATTTAATTTATCAAAACTGAATACCTGCCAAGGTTGTAAGATACCAGACTTAATTAATCATTCATGGGAAACGCATTGTTGAATCAAGTCCGGGTCAATGGGTTAAAAATTAGGTAAACAGTAAAATACATCGAGAAAGATACCAAGTTATAACATGAAGAGCGCGCATCAATCAAAGGGAGGTAACTCTCATTTCGACTGATTTCGACCTTTGACCAGTGTATTAATCACAACACAAGCCTTCCACAGGCCTGTGAAGCCTTCCTGTGTCTGTATTTACTTACATCGTAATTGGCCCGGTAGTGAAACTATTCTTTTCTGACGATTCTCCTGTGCTGAAGTGTCGCCCAATACTCGGACAGTGTAGATCTAGCTTGCCATATCCACATCTCAAAATCCTCTGCAGAGCGTGTCGGCGGACAGACGATGTTCGAGTTGAAAACATTCCGGTCAATAACTGGAGAGAATCCGCAGTGTGAGAAATCAACACGTGCGTGTGATTATAAACACCCTAAACCCAAAGTCTCCCTTTGGGGTGAAAGAAAAGCTGAAGGGGTGGTAAACGTATATATGCGGTTGTGAAAGCGACTCACTAACACAACCTGACACAACAAGGGAGGTAACTCTTGATTGTTTATATAATCCCTCGTGATAATAATTATTATTTTTATTCAATATTTTCCCCTCGTGATGTATCCAATTATTAAAAAAAAAAACTTACGACCTGTATAATAACCTTTAAGGTTTGTGTTTGGTCTAGGCTGATTATAACACCTAGAATTTATTGTCGGAGAAGTAGCTCGAGACCGCACACCTTAAAACAACCAAGAGAAGCATCTATTAGTGGTCGTTATTCGGTGTATCTCATCAGTCACTCACATATAACAATAAAACACAAGCAAAAGTACAACCTGAGGCAATTAAAATACTCCGAGAATTATGAACAAACAGTTACAGTATAAACCATACTGACAATGAATCATACAAAAAAATGCATTTTTAAAACAATGAAACGAAGACACTTTTACATTTGGTTGAAAATAAATAAACCGTGATATGGCGCAATTAAGGCAATGTATTGTTAATAAATAAGACACTTCAGTAAGACACGTACTACATGTGTTTCAAGTTACTAAAGACCGCCTCCGTGGTCTTGTGGTAGAGCGTCCGCCCGGATAGCGGAAGGTCCAGGGTTCGATCCCGGGCCGCGTCATACAAAAAGACGTTAAAAGATTGTACTTGTTGTTACCCTGTCTGGCGCTCGGCATTAAGGGGCTAAAACAAGGACTGGTCGGCTCGGAGTCAGTATACTGTGTCTGAGTGGGGTATTCATGTTAAACTGTGGCATGGTATCTCAGTGAGCTAGCACTATAAATCGGCATCAGTCCGGACTAGTACAAGCAGCCACACACACACATACACGTGCATGCACGTCGCTATATAAGTGCAATAATCTTGGACGCGACGTTAAACCCAATTTCACCTCACCTCACCTCAAGTTACTAAAATAATCTGACATGATCTTTGATATTTATGAAGAACGTAATGATAGGCTTTACTTTGATACAACACTGCAGAATACACATTGAACCGAATAATAAGAATACAGAAATATTAATATATAATTTCAATCTGTTAGTTGAATAATATGTCAACATCTTTTCTATCAAAACTACAGTTAATTATCAAAAAATCATATGCCGCGCGGCATGTCATTTGATGTGTACAATGTATACATAAATAGAGCATAACAATACTGATAATATCGCAATGAATGAGCAGCTGATCTAAACAACAAGTTTAGCGTGAACAGTATAGTTACCTCGCTTGATAAGTACATTGTTTATACATTAATTACACCAAGGGTAGTTTGAATCATTTGAAATGAACACACACAGTAATTATTTAAAGATACATTCATTTACATACACTTTGATTGCAAACATGCAATAAAATATAAAATTGACAACACACATACCAGAGCGACTTCGCTTCCACGAGGCTGATTATATGTTATTAATACAGTAATATTAATATACACCTTATTGTTAGATTATTTCTAGTGCTACAAGATCTAACCTAACTATAATAATAACTTCACTGGTATACTTAATCAATGCCTAATTTAAAATGTTGATTATATTCAAATCAACTAACAACATGGAAAGCAATAGAAAACAGGAAAATAGGAATATAGTTTAAGGACATACAATATATATCAAGTGAACATGTCTTACCTTAAAATAGCCCAGAGAAGCATCTGTTAGTGGCCAGTCTTTATTCGGTGTATCTCATCAGTGAGGTACCCCCCAAAAAGGCCGTTATTTATACCACCGATGCTCATAGATGTCATGATATGGTCGCATGTTCAATTATCGTTTATTTAATGTTACTACACAATACTTACACAAAGTATCTGAATTTAAAGATCACCTGGCAGTTTTGAAAGAGATGAGTATTCTAATCCCCCTGTGACAGTTAACCAACGTTTTTGTAAATATTGCCCTGGATGTGTAGAAGATGAAACTCACTTTCTCCTCCACTGTTCACTTTATGATGATATCCGTGTTACCCACCTTCCACAAGTATTTAACCCCACAAATGGCAACTTAAATAACTATACTGAGCTTGTATATATTTTAAATGATTATAATATTATTTCAACTCTAGGTAGTATGTGCTACAAAATGGCTGTCCGAAGAAAATCTCACTACCAATAACACCATATATATTTATATTGCTTTTTATATGTTTTTACTCAATTTGTTTTACTATGTATTATGTATGGTCTCTTATAACCCACATCGTGGGTGGCAGAGATACTTTATAGTGTACTTTTATAATAATGTATGTGCCTATAACCTGTATCTACGATGAGACAAAAATAAACAATTTGTCATTGTCATTGTCATTGTCAGTATGCAGAATTGACAAAAATTACATAAGTTGTCTCGGAGGGGCGTGTTATCACAGAGTAATGTTTACTTCCCTCGCCGGACATGGAGTATTAACGATTACCACATAACGCTTGTCAAGTAAAACATGGGAATGAAGGCAGGCGTATATCACCACTGACAGATATAGACTTCGGACGAACATGCATGTGTCTTGACGCTTCACATCTATACTTATCAACTAAAACTTGAGAATGAAGGCCGGCGTATATCAACACCGACTGATGAGATAGACTTTTATTACACAAATTATTGAGTATTATACACAAAATATGTTGTTTAGTCCTATTTTAATAAGTCAAAATTATTTATACAATGTTAGGAAAGGAATCGTCTAATATCCCGTCAAATTATCAAACCTCTTATGTGTATCATATTGTCTTTACACAATGAAGTTCAGACACAGATGCTATAAATGTTTTCCTCCAGATAAGATCGAGCACAAATCACGAAAGCGAATTTTAATGGGATTTTTTCACAACATACGAATACCCTGACGAAGACTGTTTAAATGCCTCTTCCGGTCGCTACGGTCGTGATTACTATAATTTTAATATTATTATTTCATTTATTGATATCACAAATTCGATTTCATTAGAAGAGATAATTATTGATATCATAAAATAGTAAGTCATCACTGATTCGATGGTTAAATATCAGTCTATGATATCTTAAAATGTATTTGTGATATCGTAAAATGTATTTTATGATGTTAAAAAATGAATTTGTGGTATCTGAAATAATCTATCGAAATCTAAACCAAATCGAACAATTCATTTTTTTATATCAGAAACTCGATTTATTTCTATTCAAACAAACATCCCTTTAAATGATATGGTGTCAATATGTGATTTTTTTAATATATGATATCAATAAAAGAAAAAATGATATAAAAAAAAGAGGGGGGCCGCCGCCGTGGAGTAGTGAAAAGAGGCATTGCCTAAAAGTCGGTCCGGGCCGGGCCAAAGTGTTATTGGCTAATTACTTCATGTTCGGCGATCATACCTACATGTAATTGATGCAACATACACACATGTCATTAATGAACAACCACCAAACAAAAAAGTGAACCATAATTAAGTAATTGGGAGTAAATCGCTTGAAAACCAGAAAGTGGAGCTGTGTGTAAGCGTCGCTGATCTAGGTAACATGTAAAAGAGCAATCGTTAAACGAAATAAGATTTGAAACGTATCAAATACTTCTAGCTATCGTGATACAAATTTCCATCTGTCGGCATAGCGTACTATATCTAAGTAAATACCACTTAATACTGTCACTGTTCATCGTATTTAAAGCAGACACGTTGGTTAAAGTAGACCTCTTCTCCCTATACTCTCAACAGTCACACAAGTGTTCGGTCCGACTTGGCCCGGGCTGTCAAAATCAACTTTAAACTCATATATGTATCATCAAATGGATTCACTTCAATAAACTAGTATAATTTCTACCAAAATATCACTTTATAGTGTCTTAGATCGCGGTATTTAAAGAAAACAAGGGGCTCAAAGTGAAGCCCTTTTCCCTCTACATTCTCAACATAGTCTCTATCAGAAGTGTTTTGCTTGTGTTGGGTCCGAATTGGCCCGGGCGGTCAAAATCTACTTTAAACACACAGATGCATCTTCAAATGTGTTTACATCTATAGATTAGTATTAAATCTACCTATATACCACTTTATAGTGTCACGGTGCATCGTGTTTAAAGAAAACAAGGTGCGCAAAGTGAAGCATTTTTACTGTATTTTCTTAAGAAAATCTATGTCAGAAGTGTTCGGTCTGACTTGGCCCGGGCTGTCAAAATCAACTGACCAGCTGTAACACTGCACAATATGTTGTTTTCACTAAGTATCGTTATACATTAGAGAGGTGCAACGCGTTTTTATCCGTCTTTTAGAAATGTAAACGCTTTGAAAAAGACACCTGTCCATTCAATACTAGGAGATTGTATTCGCCTTTAGACTAGACATTCCTCGCTGAAATGTTTGTATGGATGATATTTCAATGATGATGAATCATATACATTTGTACATACTAACGCTTAGATTTTGGCCTCCATTCAAATAACTTTCTACAGAAAAGTGCTATAAGAAAGCCAGGGTGGCCCAGTTGTCTAAGGCGCCGCGATTCGATGTGCAGAGTTGCGTCCCTTGACACGGCAAAAACCTATGATTGTGGGTTCGAATCCCGGTTCGCCCCGATTGTTTCTAGGTTTGTCAGCACCATACCCGTGCTCGTGGGTTTCACCGAAGTGGTAAAAGTCTGAGACCTGCATCACTTCGGGCTTTCCTCCCACATTAAGCTGAAACGCCGTGATATAACTGGAATACTTTTAAATTCGGCGTAAAACCCAACTCACTCACTCATTTCATACTACCTGTATTCCCATTTGCCCATTCCTAATAATGATATTTGAGTATATCTAATAATCCTGAACATTCGGACACCACATTTGGCCTGGATGGTTTGGGAAGATTTGTAATTGAAAAATATGTACCATTGTCAATGGACAAAAAGTAGAAGGAATGTTTATTTTCTGGCACAACATCTGAAGCACCTCACCAGCAGAAAGTGTTACCAATATCTTCTCTCTCCCGATCCTCTTGTACCCATATTTACTACTACTTAGTCTAACTCTCCGAAAGGCAAATTGAAACTTTTGTGCAGCTAGATTCAGGAAGTTCACAGCGTGTACATAATGTTGCCTTTAATCTGTCAGCGAGAGCCCTCTCCCGGCTTAAATATAGAGCTTGAGAAATGTTATTGAAGGGTGTTCATAGATTCAATGCTTTCAGTTCTTTCAAAAAGGTCTATTGAAATATAACCTATAGTCATGTCATAAATAACTTAAGTCTAGACATGAATGAGGGTTTAGCTTTCATGATACGCTTAGCTAAGCGACGCGAGACTGTTTCGATAAGGGCGGGAGCGATCACCGCCACAGAATTCAAACGGCCGTTGATACTGAGGTATTTAAGTCTGTACGTTACCGTCACAAAAAAACTGCAACCAGTTGTTTATCCAGCGTAACGGCACTTGGCCATAGCCTCAACATAGTTTTTTGCTCATTAAAATATTATATGAAGTTCGTGAATTTAGCGTCAAGTTCTGCCTGCCACTGTTGTCGATGGTCGAAATGAGAGTACAAGTTGGGTAAAGTTAGGCCACTCGGCCTGTAGTGCAAGTTGATATCATCCTTATTTTATTAAACTGGCGAGGCCGAAAAGGCATCCCTGTAAAACACTCCATTTTGTGTTGGTTCTCAAAAAAGCAGTTGATATACGGTAAGCATATACACTCACACAAGAAACACACACACACAAGGGTGTTCACAAGGGTGTTATGCCCATCTATTACTACACGAATATGGCAAATCGTCACTCGTCACCACTCGTTCATTTCCTTAACCCAGCACCATACGGTTAAGCTCAACTCACTCACTGTGAACACAATGTTCCAGTTTAAGTTCATCACACACGAGGCGGGGCGGCCGGGTAGCCTAGTGTTTAAAGCGTTAGCTCGTCACGCCGAAGGCCGGGTTCGAATCCCGACATGGGTACAATGTGTAAAGCCCATTTCTGGTGTCCCCCGGCGTGATATTGCTGTAATATTGCTAAAAGCGGCGTAAAACCAAACTCACTAACTCACTCAAACAGACACCCTGGAGTTATTTCGGCTGAAAGTAGTTTAACCCCCAGCGTCGAGAGTGCTGACATAACATAAAGAAGTTGTAAACTATAAAGTTGTATGTTTTCTTATTTACCACTTATTGTTCTGGGATGTTTGTTAGAGACTGTATCTTTCTTCACCGGTACTTCAAGAAATCCATTCTTTTCTTCGAAAAGAAGAGCCAAAAAGGTTTGTGTTTGTGTTTGCACAATACGTTTTAAAAGACATCCCGCACATTGACGTCTTTTGGAAATCCCAGACTCCCACAAAGTGATTTCTTATGAATATGGAAAGGCATTTGTCACTTTCAGGAAGGGTCATTTTCATATTTGTTAATTGTTATACCACAAGTCAACAATATAAATATAATATGTTATTTTGATTGACACATAATAATTCTAGAATCTGGTCCAGGCGAATTTGTTGCTGATAACAAGACTAACGCCCCATTGTTAACACAAGGATGCAAAACGAAACGTTATATTTTATTCAAACAACATGAACTAAACCTAATACATGTTTCAAGGCTTAAACGTTGACATGAGTTACTCTATATACAGTTGACAATGATGCTTGAAACAGTTGAACAATGGAAACATAATCCTTGAGCATAACATCCTTGAGTATCAAACATACATAAAGAGTCAAACAGCTTAAACGTGTTTATTAGGACAGTTGTATTCAAACTGCTACGAGAAACAGTTCCAGCCTTGAGGAGACGATGACTCAATACGTCGATTATTATCACAGGCGTGTCGACTAAGAAGTTGTTATATACATGATTATGAAACTACTGGTAAAAGGCATGCAATTAGTATAAAGCATTAAAATGTATCAACATTGTTATATGAAATACAAATAACTGGTGTATATTAAAAATATACTCATTATTCCTTTTGTTTATGAGACATAGTTTTTCTCATATGCAAAACAGGTTATTGTTTAGGAATGATCTAAAGTATTATCACTGTTTTGGCACGTATAGCTCGTTCATAAACTCATGTTTTAAATGTTTATGTTTAAAACAACCAATAACCGCACTTCTTGCGAATAATTATATTTTCATCCCCGTAACCGAGAGTAGATGAAGACGTTTTTCATATCCTGCTGGCGCCTCCATCAACATAGTCAGGAAGAGGGTCTGTGGGAGGTGTGCATGGAGGCCTGGAAAATGGTAAACATATTAAATTTCAACTAATTTGATAAATAGATCATGATATTAAATTACTATAGAAGATCAAGACATTATAAAAAAAAATGATATTTCAAAACGTAGTCATTAAATGAAAATCAGTATTCTAAATACAAGTCACAATAGAAGTGGTTTCATTCCAACACTCATACTGTTAAATCAAATATTGATGATATTATGTTCCACTTGATGTATTCATATTTTGTTTACAAATATGTATGTGAGAAATATCAACGGCCAAATGTGTATTCATATTTAGTTTACCTTGGACCTGTAGACACATATGCTGGGTTTGGAACACCGGATGACTGCAAAGACGAGAGAGTTTACATTTAGACAGCTGTTAGTCATTATTACCAGCTAATTTTAAAAGAACACTGTAATGTAAATACTGCATACAGAAAAAATAATTTTCATAATCAGTAAGGTGTATATGTGTGTACCATACATAAAATCAGTTATGTTGTCAACACTTGTCATGATTGGATTTCAAACACTTAATAAATCCAAATGAAAACACCTCACAGAACGATTGTGGTCAAACAGAAAAAGCGAAGTAACTCTTCACTGCCATGCAGACAGGTACCTACATTTTGGTGAAGAGTGAGTGAGTAAGATTTTCGTCGCTTTTTAGCAATATTCCAGCAATATCACGGCGGGAGACACCAGAAATGGGCTTCACACATTGTATCCATGTCGGGAATGCAACCCGGGTCTTCGGCGTGACGAGCTAACGCTTTAACCACGAGGCTACCCGACAGCCCTTTTGGTGAAGAGGCTTATGTGAGTTAAAGTGGATGTTTTGTAACAGTCAGTGATCTATTGTCTGATGTTGGTACGAGAACATAGTCTGTGAATGATATTTTCAGTCCCACATGATCACAACTGCCCGACAGCTTATAAAATGGTGTGTCAAAAATGATATGCTGTAGACTTACGAAATCTCTGTCTCTGAGTTTGTTGTACGATGTTTCTTCATCTTTGCCCCCCGCAGCTAGTGAGTCGTATCCAGCTTGTTCTGATGCTTTTGTTGTTTTACCATGAGCGGTGTTGATATTTTCCTGATATTGTGTTCTTCGTCTTACAGTCCTCCACCTAAACGAAACAATGTTTGAAAAAATAATTGGAAACTGAAACTCCAAAACTCTGCGCATTTACCTTTAAGGACATAATGAAATTGCACGGGAGATTTTGTTATTGATGTTAATGAGTCACATCCTCGATAATTGAAAGGCTGGAGTCATTTGAGTACTTACTTGTATATAGCAAATACTGCAGCAATGCTGGTAACTGCAAGTAGGGCTGCCATAGCTATGAATAACCCAAGGAATAATACTCTCTGTTGTTGTAGCTGTGAATATGCGTTTTCAGCTACACATGTTGTTTGTGTATATCCCTGTAGGGTTATCGTAACTGTACACGATCTGAAACAAATATCACAAATCATTCGACCGCTGCTTCAAGAAATGCATTGTTGTACTGCAAAGAGAAGCCAAACAGTGACTGAGGAGTGGACTACATAGTTTGCACATTGCTTGTAACAGGCATACCAAACCATTGATCTACTGACTTTGTTCCTGCACGGCATGTGCTGCCAATAAATCATGCCATTGGCTTCAAACATATAGGGGGCGGTCGGGTAGCCAAGTGGTTAAAGCGTTCGCTCGTCACGCCAAAGACCTGGGTTCGATTCCCGACATGGGTACCATGTGTGAAGCCCATTTCTGGTGTCCCCCGCCGTGATATTGCTGGAATATTGCTAAAAGCGGCGTAAAACCTCACTCACTCACTCACTCAAACATATACTCTATCAGTATCAGTATCAGTTTTATCAACATCAGCCTAAATCAAAAGTGGTTATGCCAGTATGATAAAAACTTACCCAGTCTTCGGATGAGGACTTTCGTCGGTGGCGATTATTACTAATTGTATCACTTCGGGCACAGTGTCGTCAAATTTAATGTGAACAGATATTTTCCCAGTCTGGCTGTCGATCTTGAGATTTTCCTGAAGAATAATGGTCAACTCAAGCATGTAGATATAGTCACATACAACGTCAGTTAAGAAGATGATAAGATAAGGAGAAACAGAATCTGTGGCAACTGGGACCAGGATAAATAGCAACTGGAATGCGGGGGAAATAAAGGCTACTGACATAATACTATCTAAAAGAACCTTTTTAAACTATGACTAATGGGGAAACACTATACATTCACACAGATGTAGGAGGCCATTAGATCCGGGGTGATGGAATAATGTGACATGACTTCAAGACAAGTAAATAGTTTTAATTGCTCACCCTATCATTTCTTGTTTGTATGGCGTATGTGACATTGTGGCCGTCGGCGTCCGTTGCCCGGAAGTTGGTAATCTTAACTTCTGTACCAGTTTCAGATGAAAACTCCAATGACGCTTCATAAGCAACTGAAACATTTGAATACGTATTCGTTAATTTATACAACATTGATTTATGTCAGTATTAACTATTGTACCAGATTCAGATTTAAACCCCAATATGAATCCATAAGCTTCCGAAAAATATGAATACATATTCGTCACATTAAGGTAAAACATAACCAAACAATGATACAAAGTCAAAAATCTTCTGTAATTATAATCAAGTGTAACACTCATTTGTCATCAAAACGTACGTCTCTAAAACGCCTGAATTATCAGTACAAATCCATCGAAGTGCATTTTTCTGATGAATCGACGTTGCATAATTATATAAGGTTCAACATATTCGATTTGTCATCATACAGGCAAACATCCTGTAAAATGTAATGTCATGACTAGAGTATATCGTGTGCAAGATAACGGTGTCAGGATAACAGAATCTCAGGTACGTTCCACTGGTCTCAAACCAGTTTACCTTTTTCAAATCTGGGAGGATGTTCATTATAATCGTCTGGTCGCACTTCTATGGAGGCCTTTGTTGTAGTTACTGCCGATATATTTTTTGATCCGAAAAAGTCGCCCTCTGTCACACTGACTATCATCTGGTAAAGAGACAGCATATATTTCCTTGAGGATGAGCAAATTGAAGCCGATACACTTGTTGTATATACTACTTAATGCTGATGGTAATGTAGCCAAAACAAATTGAATCTAGGTTCTTTAGAATATTTTCATATTTCTTTGATAAGGTTACATAAACAATAATATCTCTCGTCACCTTTTGAAAACAAAAAAGGGAAAGTAGATCGAATATAATTTTAATTTTAACCCACTCCGACCAAAATTTATCATTGTTCTAAATGAAAGCAATTTCACATTTCTGTTATCATAGGAAATCTCTACCAAACTTAGAGTACCATTGCGACTTTATCATATGCATGCCGATACACTTGTTGTGTCTATTACTTTAGCTTATGGTTATGAGCCACAATTAATTAAGCCTGTGGTTTTTTTAATACAGTCAAACACCGTTTTGTCGAACTTTGACGTGTCGAACTTACGGTTGTATCGAAGTAAAAGCTTGGACTGCGTATCCCTTTTTTATTTATTATTTTCGGTTGTGTCGAACCTCGGATAATTCGAAGTGTTTACGTAGGTCCCTTCAACTTCGACACGATGGTGTGTGACTCTTTTTCATAAACCTTTGGTATTGCCACATAAACAATTATATTTCTCGTCACATTTTGACAACAAAATGCGTAGGTATGTCATGTTTTAATTTTAATTTAAATTTTCAACCACTCTAACCTTAATATCCATTGATCTAAATGATAGCAATGATATAAATCAAAAAGCGACAAAAGCGTTTCTGTAATCGTAAGAAATCTGTAGTAAAGTACATTCCGACTATATCAAAAACATGTGTTTACGAATCACTATCAAAATGAGATACCAGGTGTTCTCAAAAAGGTGGACTTAAAAAAGAAAAGTACTTTATTGTAAAATCACCAACTACATAACTAGCTTCAAAACAAATTGTATCATTAGATCTAGGGTCGGAACGACGTTTTTTAGAATTTGTTTTTATGTGGCCCGATGAATTTATTATAACAAACCTATTCACCATGTTTCTGTACTGAAATACCTTTTGCCAAAATAGTGTTTCGGCCATAATAACATATTTAATCGCGTTTGTATATATTGCCAAAATCATATTCGTCAGTCTTTGGAAACAATCAATTTAAGAACATGAATCAAAATAATAATATGCAATTATATTATGTGGCATAATATTGATTACTTTGTGTCGTAACCCTCAATATCTGTCTAAATGAACTACATGCATGATCTATTGAACTGAACTTAAGGCAACATATTGATTACCGCACATAGTGCAATAACGGTCTTTTTCCAAAATATCTGCTTACATCAACCTCTGTGTAGTTCAGCAGAGAAGCCCTCACTACCAGAGTTCCATTACGCAGCAGTTCGATTCCCTCAACATCAGTTACGTCTGTGTATATGGGGTGACTGAGTTCATCAGCGTCTACCGACATCACTCTCCCGATCACATGCCCAACTGGAGCACTCTGAAATGTGAACATTTAAACATACTTTGATATCCCTTTACATTTATTGCTTGAATTGTTTATTCTTGTATTTAGTTACGATAACATTTTCCTCAGTTGGTAATATACGCATTATAGACAAACGAAGCAACAGAAAAAGTGTAAAAAGTGTAAAAAGTAAAAAGAATTCAAGGGACATAACTTTTCATGGTATCTCTCATCCAATTGTATGGTGGCGTTAAATGGCTTCTCCATAGGACATTGATAGGACATATAATATTATATTCCGGCATAGACTGATGCAGTCCTTTATTCATATGTTACCTCCTTACCCAGTAATATATTATTCTTGGACGTTGACAGACAAATTGAGCGACTTATAACTACCTTCAGAAGAATACAAATATGTATACTTACGACCCTCCTACTACTAATACTACTACAACTATCACTACTACTATTGCTACTACTGCTACTACAACTACTTATAATACTCCTAGTACTACTATCACGACAACTACTACTATTTCTACTTCTACTGATCATAACAATAATCATAATAATAATGATAATAACAATGCTCCTATTATATTATTTTGGAATTATATGTTAGATATTGAATGTGTGGTTTCACGTTCGTTTTAACTATATATTACGACAGGAGACAAATATTATACTGATGATAATGATGGGCATGAAGTGAATCAGTCCTGTGAGCTTTTAACCCAATAAATACATACCTGATTTACTGTGAAGTTGTGCTGAGTGTTCTCGAAGAAGGGTAAGTTGTCGTTAACATCTTTAACGTTCACTTCAACATCTGTTGTCCTAAAATGAGGGCTGCGTCGGTCTGTCGCCCTCACTTTCACATAAAAACGACTGCCTGTTTTTTCACGGTCTATTGGGTCCTTTTGTCTTAAGTCTCCAGTCATACTGTCTATGTAAAAGCTCGAATTTTCTGAACCTGAAAATATCAGTTAGTACACAATTAAAATCTAAAACCTATTGCCATTATAAAAGAGGATTGATTTTTTTCTATTGATTTGTATGAATTCAATTTAAAGCCTATAAAATTATGTTTTGAAGAGTAACACTTATGAGGAAAGTGAGTGAGTGAGTGAATATTGTTTACGCCGATTATAGCAATATTCCAGCAATATCACGGCGGGGGACACCAGAAATGGGCTTCACACATAGTATCCATGTCGGGAATCGACCCCTGGTCTTCGGCGTGACGAGCGAACGCTTTAACCACTAGGCTACCCGACCGCCCCTTATGAGGATAGCAACGGGTTAAGTCTAAAACATTATACAGAACACTATAAAATGTCCAGAAGCGAGGATCTTAAGCATAACACCATGTAAACTTTGAAGACATTTGCACACATGAACAAAGAACAAAGCAAGGTGTACCTATTAAATCATAGGTGCAGTTACACTCTTCTACACTCGCCCTTCGCACATAGGCTCTAATGGACACCGGTTTATCCTCATCGGGCTTTTCATTCTCCGTCAGCAGGAAGGTGTATGTTTTGTTGAAGAATGGTCGTGGCTGATCAGTCAGGATGGAAATAGTAATCTGTTGGCAGCAAAACCGTTACAATATATAAAATATAGAATCTCACCCGAGTGACTTTTGATATCAAATATATAAACACGAGTTGATAAAAGTGGAAAAATTCCGAGTCTTGCCGAGGATTTTTTCCACTTTTATCAACGAGCGTTGATATATTTGATATCAAAAGACACGAGAAGAGATTTTATTTATCATCCAACATCATTCTTCCAACTTTTTCAATTTGTAGACAGTAATTAGCAGTGTCTTCAGTGTAAAAAGTACTTCAGTAGCAGAGCCATTAGTGATGTCATTTGATTGTGACGTCATGGTAACCAGTGACGTCACAATGGTCTGCAAAGCATTGTGATGTAATTTCATTGCAGCGATATCTACAGTGTAGATATCGCTTGATCTCATCCAAGCGATATCTCCCGTGGGAGCCAGTTTTGGATGATAAATACCAGTCATAATGCGTTTGGTCAAATGCGAGAAGCTGGAAACAATTGTCCCTGTGTGTCTTTCGGTTGCCCCTTATATCAGTCCCGATGGACTGAATGAACATCATGGACAACCGTTTTTTGGTATGATCTAAATACTACAGTATATATAACAGCTACATTACGTTTGTGATTGCTTCCATAGCAGGGTCTTTTTGGGGTAGATCTGTCGCCCTGATCCTCAGAGTGACCTCATCATCATTGACTTTGTCTAGGGTTGTAGCCACGTATATTCTTCCTGAATTGCGATCAATCCTGAAGTAGCTTATGTCTAGAAAACATGGAGAAATATTATCACTTGCATGGTAGTGAAATTCGACACACTGATTGATCAGGTCTATATGGTGCTTCGAAAGGTGAATCAACAGAAACTTCCATTCCCTGAATATTGTATTAGGTTTGTTTAGAAAATTGTTTTCCTGTTCAAAATTGTTTCCACTCAGCATCTCTATTCACAGGGCTTTGATATGTCATCCTGTTTATGCAGTATCAAGACAATAACACTGGACATATTATAGATACCAAGTATCACGTCAGGTAACCTCCCCTTCTTAGTGTAACTATGATACAATTCATGTATGTTGACATTAATGCAATGCATGAAATATAATAAATAATTTCTAATATTTCATGAACAGAACATACTTGATAAAATATGGTATGTAACAACTCCGTTGCCGTCCATGACGCTGTCCCTGTCAGTTGCAGTGATGGCGACAGTGACGGGAGTGCTGATGTTAGCGTCTCTTGATATGTTGGCTCGGTACGGCGCCCCCTGAAACACCGGCGGGTTGTCGTTGAAATCCAGGATGGTGACGGACATAGTTGTCGATCCAGTGAGACGTCCTGTGCAATTGCTGCATCTCTCCATGTCCACCGCAGTCACAATGCATTCATATGTTGAAGTCGTCTCATAGTCGAGGTCGCCGCTCACTTTCACGACTCCAGTCTCTAAAGAAGAGGTATTGCACCACACTTAGTAACAAAATACTGAAGATATTATGACGTCAAGTTTATTTAAAGTGAAATTTACATACCAAATCATCTTTTGCCGTTTATTTAACATTACATATGTTGTACAAAAGAGATAAATGAATCGGTGCCTTAAGTATATTCACTTTTTGATGTGTTTGATATGTGTGCACATACAAACAGAGAGTCAACTACCCTTGTCAAAGGTCATTTCATTTTTCATAGTAGTTATACTGTGGTGAACCAGTAAAAATCACTACCAGGATGGCTACACTGAAGGCTATTGACTATAAGGTGTTACACGTTTACTTATAATACTTAAAGTATACGTCAGATTATTCTTACCCAGTGACACATTGAATGGACAGACAGTTCCGTTCACCATCACGGTGTTAGGAACATATGCAATTGCACCATGCTGCGCCAGGTCTCTGTCAGTTGCACTCACTTTCTCCACCTAAAATTAGAAGCAATATTATTTCTTAATGTACAAGGGGCGGTCGGGTAGCCTAGTGGTTAAAGCGTTCGCTCGTCACGCCAAAGACCCGGGTTCGATTCCCGACATGGGTACAATGTGTGAAGCCCATTTCTGGTGTCCCTCGCCGTGATATAGCTGGAATATTGCTAAAAGCGGCGTAAAACCATACTCACTCACTCACTCTAAATGTACAAACGATATGCTGCAAATGAAATCAGATACATTGGATAAGAGTTAGTGTGTGAGTATGGTAGTGATTAACACTTCTGGAACAACCACTATGATTCTTATCGATCCCAGCCTTATCTCCCTCGAGTGGCATGCTCTGATGTTTCATGAGTTTGTTCGCGTTATTCAGTGCTTTCTTCAATCCAACAGACCCCATGATATGACTGAAATAATCAGCAAACCCTACTTACTCCTTCTTTAATTACTGGTCATAAATTCATGTATCATATGATGTGTAGGATTCTCGGGAGGATAAACCCAACGTATATAAATGGTATCCATTTACGGGTAAATATGCAAATCATAAGGTCAGGTGGGTATCACTTTCAGTGATTGCAAACAAACGTGGCGTCAATCGTCACTCGATTCAGAATTGACTGTCGGGCATCAGGACAAATTGTTCGGATACTTGTCATCATTATCAAAATAATAGTCCAAGATACTTACAGATGTTTCAAAGGGGTGTAGCTGAGGTCTTTTAAAGTTTAGGCACCATTAAGAGATACAAATTGGGAAGCTGTGCTTGTGGACCTCGGCGGCTTAGGGTTATTTCCCGAATTTAGAAAAAGTTGGATTGGCCGAAAAATGGCCAAACATTTACTTTGTTTCATTTTGTCGCTGTTTTGGACATCTGGCTGCTTTTCTGAACGTTAGGATAATGTAATGACTAAGCAAACCAGACGTATTCTAAACAAACGTGATATTAAAGATAAGAGTAGCTCCTTTTGACAAAGGGAAGTTACTCTGGCGGGCAAACAGATTTACTGCCGCGAAGGGCTTAGACTGACAACATTAGTTTTGTGCTTTAAAAAAACCTTGGAAATTTTGTGTTGCCAATTGTCTTTTTGCCTGTGTCGTCGTGACGCCACTGATGCCACAGTTATGCCACGATTGGAACAATATTGCTTGCTGTCGCCTTATCACTGTCCTTGTTTGTGACCTTATAATATATTGATACACACATTCCTGGTTCCGTTCAGGTACCATTTGTGAGAGAAAAGAATATTTTTTTCAATAGAATTCAAGAATGACATTACATGATTAAGAGGTTGTGATGCTTGTGTGATTTGGGATCGTAAATGTTCTGTGTTATGAATAGACAATATGCATTTAGCGCAAAGGCTCTGAAATACAATGTTTATTCCATAAACGGGGATATTTACCATACCCAAACACACTCGCGTGATACCTTCGATATATAAAACTGGACACATTGATTGGCGTCAGTGTCCCAACCCTTACCGCAGTGTATCCATTAGTTAACTATGTATATTGTCTTATGTACATACCGATGCGGAAATGGCACTATCTTCTTTTACTGTCACTGCATACGTTGTTTGGAATGTAGGGGGATTGTCGTTGCTATCCAGGACAAGGATCGTGGCACTTGTTGTTGCAGTTCTCGGAGCATCTCCATTGTCTGCCGCCTTGAAATTAAGCATGGAATGTGAGATGCATATTTCAGTCGCCATAAAATCAATCAAGAAACTGTGAAATAAATTACCAATATTTTGAATACGTTGACGTTTCGTTGTGTAGTCAAGCCATAGTTTAGTGTTTAGTTTTTGTGTTACCTTGATGGTTAAGTTGTATTTTTCATAAACTTCTCTGTCTACATCTCCCGAAACAGTGACACTGCCGGTTCCAGGATTTATCGAGAAATCTGCAAATCGTACAACACATTCAATACTGTAAATACGAAATGAAACATTGAATTGAAAAAGGTAAAACGAAAAAGTAAAACAAATACAGTGAAGACGAATATGACAAATTATATAATAACACCCGTAAATGCTAACACTGAGCATAATATATATAAGTATATGTTTTGTAAACTATATATATATTATTGTATAAAAAACTTGAAACCCCGGGAAACAATCCTAATTAATTTGCACAAGGCACTACTGGCTCCAGTTATGTTCACAATTACAATCACAACTTAATAAATTGAAGATATTACTAGCATATTCATGTTAAGACAAACAGTAACGTTTGGCATCAATATCTGCACCTTCCTTAGACGCAGTGTCATCAATAACATTTAACAACTTACGTGTCCGAGGTGTCTGCGATACAATGCTGTACGTTATTCTTCCATTTTCATCTGCATCCTCATCTTTGGCAATGATGCGTCCGATCTCCTTGCCAGGAGAATTTTCCTTAACTTGAAAGACGAGCTGTCCTGAAGATGCCAGAAACTCTGGTCCATTGTCATTAACATCCAAAATGTGTACTGTAACCTGAAACAATCACATCAAATCTTTAAAATGTTACAACGGCTCACATACTGTTCTCATGTTGATCCTTAAAAATATAAACGTTTTGGATGTAGCTTCATTACATGTGCAGACAACAGGAAACAATAATACCGCAAAAATGCAAATACTTTCACTCTTAAGTCCTTGTCATTGCTTTATAACTTCTGTCTCGTTGTGTGTTCCCTATGTAATCTATCCCTCCTTCAAAAGTTTATATTCAAGTGCAGTTTCCTGTGCTGTAGAAAAATAGAGAATCGGGGAAAAAGTCGAAACCTACATGACGCCAAATAGAAAGTATCGTTTGGAGCGAGACAACTTTTCGAAATTCGTTCTATACGAGCTATAAGTGATTGATATATGGAGGAAACCCGCACTTACAACAGCCAGGTCCGAGGCGTTAGTGGCGATATCCCTGGCGCGGACGATCATGGTATGATTTGGTGCTGCCTCACGATCCAGTGCTTTACCGCAAGTCAACGCTCCACTACTAGTATTAATACGGAAATCCCCGCCATTGATTAAGGTATAGCGAACTGACACGCTGGCGTCATGAGAAGCATTTGCTCTTCCGAAAGATGTGGTACATAATCGGTTCTCCACAATTGAAAACCTTAAGTCTTTAGAACTGAACCGTACAGTACTAGTGCCTTGTATTTTCTTTACATCAACTGATACTGGGACTGTGACACTTAGCGGTGGAGAACCTTTATCTGTAGCTGTAACGTCAAAGTTATATGTTGTGGAAGCATCGGGTTGACTTGCGCCCTCTTTGATGCGTAACACACCCACAGTGTCTCCATCAATGTAGAATTTGTCCGTCTCCCCACTCATGGAGAGTATAAATAGGCCATTCGTTCCAGAATCATCGTCCGTGACTTCAAAAACATCGACAGGGTTGTTGGTCACCCACTCCAACGTTGTTATCTCAGGCTGATACTTGGCTTCATCAAAACGTGGAGGGTTGTCATTTTCGTCTTCAACGTTTATCTCAACTGTTACTGTGGCGCTCATTGTGGGAAACCCTGGGTTCTCTGCTTTTATTTCTATCAGATGTTGTTGCATGTTTTCATAGTCGAGAGGAATCATACATCTGATTGCGCCAGTGATATTATTGACTGTAAAGTTAGGACTTGTTGTTGAGAACGTGATGGTGGCATTGCTTCCTTCGTCCTGGTCTGTTGCATTCACTGTTAGGATGCTTCTGGCACATGGACTATTTTCCGTATAAGAACCCTTGTACAATCTCTCCGTAAATGCAGGCTTTTCATCGTTTACATCACGAATATTGACGATAATATTCAACACGGATTCTAGAGAAGGCGACCCTTGGTCCCTTGCTTCGATTGACAGGTTGAAGACTTTCCTGTTTTCTCTGTCTATTGCCTTGATTGTCGATACTTTGCCAGTGCTTTCGTTAACTTTGAAGAAACCAAATCCCCCATCTTTCAATGAGTACGATACCTTGGCATTGAAGCCTTCATCCTTGTCTGTGGCTGTTAACGTAGTGATAGTCTTTGGTCCAACGTTTTCTTCCACCCAAAATACGGTCGTCCCGCCGTTGAACTGTGGTGCATTGTTGTTGACGTCTATGATTGTGATGTTGAGTGTAGTGGTGCCTGTGTTAGGATTAGATGGATTGTCTGTTCCAGTTAATGTCAGGACTACGTATGGAGTTACTTCCCTATCAATCAGGGTTCCACTGGTTTTTATGGTGAATTTGTTGTGGTTTGATTTCTCAACAGCAAAATAGGTCTTCCCAGGTCCCGTCAAAGCGAAGTTTACAAAACCATTCACTCCAACGTCTTCGTCGGTAACAGCTATGTCCACCTGCTCAATAGAATATGAACTTCATTACATGTTTGATTAAGGTTCCTAAGTTCATCACGTTATACATGACTTAGCAATACACCACTGTTGCAAGCTAATTTGCAATCTGGCCGAATGAATGCCTTTCAGTGTTATCTGCCTTTCAGTGATATCTATATGTTTACATATGTAAAGTTATATGTGTCTCGGTTAAATCAAAATCACGATTATCACACTCACCAAACCAACAACCAGGGTTCCTTGAATGGAGTTTTCTTTTACACTTCCTGTATAAGAAGGTCTAGAGAATTCTGGCGCATTGTCGTTCAAGTCCGTTATATTCGTAATGAGTTGACCAATCGTCTGTGGGATAGAATGTTATATAATATACTTATTCTTTAAGTAAAGGTTAATTTCAAGGAGAAATGTCTTCAGTTTAATCTTCTTTGACTACTTTTAGTTTGAGCGTCCGAAATCAGTTCATTAATTATAAACTTTCACCAAACATATCTACATACGTAAGTATGGGTCATGACTGTTAAGATATATAGTGATGAAATATGCATGTAACCGAACACTAAACACATATCTTTCAGGTAGTATGTACCGGTCGTTGTTGTAAATCCTAACACACATACATTCAGCTTCCTAATATTGCTACTCACAACAGGGGAGCACTGGTCGACACTATCCATGTAAGCCTGAATGGTGAATGCAGTATCTGCCTGGTCGTCGTTCTCTCGGTCTAGGCCAATAGCTGTTGTGACGAGCCCCTTGATAGATTAGAGAGGATTATTTTAATATGTATCTTAAACACTGACTCGGCTATACGGATATTACAAGGGTAATAACTCAGTCCATTATAATTGAGGCCACACAAGAATACAGTAACAAATATTTTACCATGCATATATTTTAGTGGACAAGATTGGAGGACAACACTGGTGCATGCCGTGGTACTTACAGATTTAGAATCCAGGCTGAAGAATCTGTCAGCCTGAGGATTTGCAAATTTGTAACCGGTATGGTTTGACACTGCGACATTGGCCACAAATGCTCCTGGACTGTTTTCACTGACTCTGCCACGGAATGTCTTGTTGAGGTTGACTGCATTAATGGTGTAGGAGATGAGATAGACAGTGATGTTGGCTTCATCAGAGTAGGTTACTCCATCATAAGCCTTGACCCGGAGGGGGATCGCGGAGGGGAAACGGCCTCTTGTTAAATCCACTTTTGATGTCAAAACACCATCGTCGTTTATGCTGAAGTCGTCTTTATGTCTACCTTCCAGACTAAATGTTGTCTGCCCAACTGTATCTCTATCAGTAACATCAACAACGCCGACTACACTATTCCCCTTAGATCCAGCAAGCAGAGAAAATTCGTAAACTGCTTTTTTAAATTTTGGGCGTTCGTCATTTTGGTCTTCAATGTTTATGTGGACATCTACTGTAGTTGACTTTGTACTGGTCGTCGTGACAAGATCAAGTTTAAAATTCATACTTGTGATACCAGCTTCGTAGTCAACTTCTTTTGCCAGACTAATTGTCGTCAAGTCCTTTGATAGTTTTAGTCTATATGGGAGCGTGTCATTAATAGCAACCTGGAACTTAGAGCTTGTTATAGTATAGCTCAAGATATTGCCTTTCCAATTTTCTCTTAACGTTGTTGTAAAAGTACTCTTGAATAACAAGATGTAAAATGTTGCAATTGTTGCGCTCTGTCCTCCCTTTGTCGCTTTGACACTGAATATATATTCTTTAGCTACTGTGTCGTTATTGGTAAAGTCAATCAAAAACATATCTCGTCCACAAAGAACCTGCCCCGATGTGGTCACATTGAACAGGGCCCTTGCTGTCTGATCTGTGGTCTCCATTTCGAAGTTGCTGTACCCTCCCAAACTACCAATAGTCCTCACGTCAGTTATCAGCGTGCCTTTCCTGGTTCCCTCCACTAGCATAACTGTGACGTCTTCTGGTGTGAAGGAGGAGGATGTGATCCTGACGGTCACAACCTGCTGCACAGTGAACGCACCGGAGGTTGCACGTAACGCCACCACAAATGTGTTAGCATCGCTTATTTCCTTGACCAGTGCCACATCAATGTGACTCGAGTTTCTCATGAGGTCCAGGATCCCCTCATCAGGATATACTTGACCTTCTATGGAGAAGGTATTTGTGGGGAAAGTACTAAGCCCATCAAACATGATTGATCCCACTGAAAAATATAATAATATCATTCGCCTAAACTCTTTTATTAACGAATGGACCACGACGATAACGTAACAATTGCATATATTTAAGTTGTCGGTCAAACACGACGATTGCTTCTAAGGGCGACTTACCAGTTACTGACGTTCTAGATAGATCTGTGTTGAAGATGTAGTTTGTGGTACTTGACAGAACACTTGGTCCTGAAACACAGAGACTTGAATGAAGATCGTTGACAGTACTATCCATCGTTACCAGGGTAGTAAACGTATTCCTTATTCATTCTTACAATTATGATGTACACAATAACTCATATTTACCCAATGAGCATTCTGTAGCCGATATCTGCACGTTCTTGTTAACACAGGCACATCTACGGCTTCCCGCTGACGTCGTCACACACGAGCTGTTGACGGCCACACATCGCGCGTAGGAGCAGTCCTCGTCCAGAGAGGCATCTGTCATGGGGCCACACGTTGGTGGCGTTGTAGTGGTTGTTGCTAAATGTAAATTGTTCACTACAATATCAGGCCAGGATATGAAAGGATATTCCTTGTGACTTTTATATTGCATATTAGTCGATGATAATTAACGATCTGTTTTAGTTAAAGTCACAAGGCAAATCCTTTCATTTGTCAGCTCCACTAAGTGAATTGCTTCATATATTTGTGACATTTACTCTACAATTTTGATGACAAATCCGGACATCATGACACATTCATCCCCTTGCACACCTCACTCCAGATTCTCACAAAGCGTAAATACTCACCACAAAAAGCATGTTAGTTCCAGCAATTCGCTTATACTTACCCCATCATTAGACGACGTGCTCAAGAAGTGCAAATGAGAAGAAGCACAGACAAAAGAGCAATACATGGGTTAAGTTATTAAATATTTCATATTAGATTACCTTAGGATAATGTTACAAGCAATCTTACAAGTATTTATCATTTATATATATATCACTTTAAACAATACCGACATTGGCAAGTCCTATCCACCAGTGGTATCTTCATATCCTAAAACGAAAACAGAACAACAGTACAAATGTTATGCGTTACTTTAATACCTCCCGCCCAGGAAAACGTCGTGTGTGTGTGTGTTTGTGTGTGTGTTTGTGTGTGTGTGTGTGTGTGTGTGTGTGTGTGTGTGTGTGTGTGTGTGTGTGTGTGTGTGTGTGTGTGTGTGTGTGTGTGTGTGTGTGTGTGATGATTATATTGACTCAAGTAAGCATTAAAAACTTCATTTCTCAGTTGCACCCTTGAAAATCATTGCATCGGAGCATTGTCAGCTGTAGTTGTGTGCAAAGGACAGACCAACTCTTTCGCATTTATCTGCAGTTCATGTAGTATGACATTGTCATATATAGCTATTGACCAAAGTATAAATATAACTACTATTCACCAAGGTATAAACATAACTTCCATTGACCAAGGTATAAACATAACAGTTACTACTATTGACCAAGGTATAAACAGAACTTCTATTGACCAAGGTATAAACATAACTACTATTGACCAAGGTATAAACATAACTACTATTGACCAAGGTATAAACATAACTACTATTGACCAAGGTATAAACATAATTACCATTGACCAAAGTATAAACAAAACTACTATTGACCAAGGTATAAACATAATTACCATTGACCAAAGTATAAACATAACTACTTTTGACCAAGGTATAAACATAACTACTATTGACCAAGGTATAAACATAACTACTATTGACCAAGGTATAAACATAACTTCTATTGACCAAGGTATAAACATAACTACTATTGACCAAGGTATAAACATAACTTCTATTGACCAAGGTATAAACATAACTACTATTGACCAAGGTATAAACATAACTACTATTGACCAAAGTATAAACATTACTACTATTGACCAAGGTATAAACATAACAACTATTGACCAAGGTATAAACATAACTTCTAGGCAAATTACATAGAAATTATGAACTACTATACATGTGTCTGGGAAAATCGGGTTTAGCGGCATTGCGGAGCGATTAAACCATGATACCATGACACACAATTAGTCAGTCCATACTTTTGATAGACAGCAACAATAATACCTGGAACCTAGTATAATGTCCAGGATATAACTATTGCGTTGCCTCCAGGATTTTTTGGGTTTTTTTGTTGTTTAACCCCGCCTACAGGAAACATATTACCTGCATCTACATATACTCAAACACAATGACCACATAACATAATGACCCTGTGGGGAACGTCAGGCAACACACACTTAATGTTTTATACAACGAGTGGTAGTGGTCGGCACTACTGGTTTCTTTTAAAATACATAAGTACATAAGAATCTCTGCACTTGTACACAGCAGAGACGTAGTTCAAAATTAACATGTCGTTTTCAGTCTCAACAAAAGCAGTAAATGGGCTTTCGTGTCACTTGTTTACCTTAAACAGTATGTTCTATGACAGTTGCGTTATTCTATCCAAATGAATTTCCTAAAGTTTTCGCTGCTGTCAAGCACACCCGTTTATAATAATCATATTGTGTGTCAAACTAGGCTACACATATATCTAGAGCCAGTGTGCAATAAGCTTGACTAGTTCTTTTGAACAGTAATATACTTCCTTGTCGATTTGTTTACCGTCGCATGGCAGGAGTACTGCTTTGTGGTGTTATGCTACAAACATATACATTCTATTTGCAGATTGAGTGGTGGGCGCTACCGGTAGGGCAGGGCTTGTTTTCCTTTTTCGCGAACACCTGGGCCCACTTGCACAAAGCGATCTTAGCGCTAAGACTAGTGTAAGCCTATGTTAAAGTATGGGAGTTACGATAATCTTAGCGCTAAGATCGCTTTGTGCAAGTGGGCCCTGGTGTCATCGCTGATTGTCAGTGATCCATGCATATACTTTTCACGACTATTTTGCCTTTTACGCTAAATGGATTCTGTTTCGTCGGATAATCGAGACTGGCAATGTTCTGGCCAGAGACCAAGCACCGACCAATGCGGCCCAGCCTGGGGCAGCTCTTGGCGGGCTATACCAAGAGTAACCATACGCCAGTATGCCATCAAGGTGGCGTGCATGTTTCGTCCAACATGGTGGGAACACCAGATATCGATATACTCGCCCGAAATCAATTTTACAGACATTTATTATTACAACTTCATCAGTTTCCATAATACCATAACAAGTTTCGTCTTTAGGCTAAGTTCAGTTTGTACCTGTGTTAAAGCCTACATCTACATGCCCATAGACCGTTCTGTTGCAAAGATTAACATGGAGAAAGTGAACAAAGTTTGACAAATATTTCATCACTTTAAATGTCACATAGTAAGAATGGGAAATTGTGAAATAAGGGAATACTTTACAAATTTACAAATAGTTTTCATAAACTGTATCTTTTGAATATGTGTATGTAAAGGAATAAATCTTAAATACTAATTGTTTTTGGTACATGTATAACGGACGACTAATGTCAGGAGGACCTTTACGTTGGTGCTGCACGTTATAGATTAATATGTTCTGATTACACCCTCACTACCGGGAGTAGCAGAACGTCATCAATGTGTCTATAACCGCAAATCAGTGCAACTGTTGTTAATCCAACTTGCGCTTCGGGATAAGACGAAATTCACAAATATCCAACTGTTATATCAACAGCGAGTGTTATATGATCATCTATTTCTCCACGTATGAAAACAGGTATCTATAGACATCCCGTTTCATTGTCTAAAACATGATGGCCATATATATTTATCTATGGCAATGGAAAATACAGAAGAAACAATGTTTGTATGAACATACCATTCTGGGGCGCACCATCAGTAACGTAGGTCCCTTCGTCTCTCCCGCTGTTTAACACGAAGTGTATATGCACCTTATCCAGTCAACGAGTGCAGCGCGGGGAGAGAGCTTCAGCTTTTGTATAGCTACAACAAGGAAGTAAATCTCAAAGCTCACGTGTCTCTCCATATAAGGGATGGCTTTGGTGGTGTATTGGGATATACAAACGTACATAGAGTAAATAATAGTTTTATGCTTTCAGGGACAGCTTTAACGCCTACCGAGGTCGGTGTTCATGCAGGCTGCCGCAGAGCATGGGTAAGGCTAAATTGCCGGGTGTTGAGCAGCTACAGGCTTTTAGTCCTTACAATCATACTTGCCTGTCTGTATATGAGTGTAGGGGAGGGGTAGAGATAACGTCCAGATAACGTCTATAGCATCTAGTTGACTGTTCCTGAGAATAGCTGAACAAGCTCGTCGAACGATTTAGCTAAGATTTGAAACGTGTAACACTGTATACGGTCAGCAAAGTTCGCCTAAGCCGTCCAAACTACATATGTCATATGTTATATTCGGAGATATAGAAGTCAATAATTATCGATTTGTTAACGAAGTGTCACGAAAGTACTTCCTGGTGATGTTTTTTCCGTCTTAATAATATACTGTTCCAGACTAAATGAAGAGAACATCCCTGTTTTAAGATTAGATCAAACAATTCGTGTTGGCGAGACGTTGTTACATTATTTACGTTGACAACACTATACAACATAAAGTTGAAAGCCTGCTGTGTATAACATGGCTATTACCAATGAGTATATAATTCTGATTCCACCATGAATGAATCTTTTTTTCAGATCACGACGAACGAAACGAGTGATTTGCTTAAATGCGATTGTTGGTGATAGGTAAATCAACTCGGCAACCTAATAAAACATTAGATTCAACCCATGATACGTATCCATCTCTTCTCTTCCTTTCATTATCTTTTCTAACACAAAGCCATGTGTTTAGTGTTATGTTACCAGCAGATGAGACGAATTAACTATTCAAAACCACACGCCGCCAACTCAACCGAATGGAAAACACAGTATATTTAGAAAAGGGTAACCTTACAAATATAATACGTCACAACACGGTAAAGTTTATATTGACACCTTTGTGTAATATCTAATATGACAGAAAGTACGGAATATCATTTTAGTGTCATAATTTGTCAGGCAGAAAATTTCAGAATGTCATTCTTGTGTCATAATTCGTCAGGCAGAAAATTACAGAATGCCATTCTTGGGTCATAATTCGTCATCGGGCAAAACGGTACAGAATGTTAATCATGTTACAATTCACCAGACATAACACTGCAGGTTTTAATTGACGAATACTGAAGCATATAGGTCAGTGCGGAATGTCACCCTTGTGTAACACGTCATAACGTGAAACACCGCAGAATATCATACTTGTATAAAACCTCATTAAGCAGAACAATACAGAATGTCATCCTTTTGTAGTACCCCACAAGGCAGAACAGTACAGAATGTCATGTCATCATTCTGAAATACCCCATCAGGCTAAACCTTACAGATATTATACTTGTATAATACCTCGTTAGACAGAACAGTACAGAATGTCATGTCATCATTCTGAAATACCCCATCAGGCTAAACCCTACAGATATCATACTTGTATAATACCTCGTTAGACAGAACAGTACAGAATGGCATCACTGTGTAATACCTCGTTAGACAGAACAGTACAGAATGGCATCACTGTGCAATACCGCGTTAGACAGAACAGTACAGAATGACATAACTGTGTAATACCTCGTAAGACAGAACAGTACAGAATGACATCACTGTGTAGTACCTCGTCAGACAGGACAGTACAGAATGACATCACTGTGCAATACCTCGTTAGACAGAACAGTACAGAATGGCATCACTGTGTAGTACCTCGTCAGACAGGACAGTACAGAATGACATCACTGTGCAATACCTCGTCAGACAGAACAGTACAGAATAGCATCACTGTGTAATACCTCGTCAGACAGAACACTACAGAATGGCATCACTGTGCAATACCTCGTTAGACAGAACAGTACAGAATGGCATCACTGTGTAATACCTCGTCAGACAGAACAGTACAGAATGGCATCACTGTGTAATACCTCGTCAAACAGAACAGTACAGAATGGCATCACTGTGTAATACCTCGTTAGACAGAACAGTACAGAATGGCATCACTGTGTAATACCTCGTTAGACAGAACAGTACAGAATGGCATCACTGTGTAATACATCGTTAGACAGAACAGTACAGAATGACACCACTGTGTAATACCTCGTCAAACAGAAAAGTACAGAATGGCATCACTGTGTAATACCTCGTCAAACAGAACAGTACAGAATGGCATCACTGTGCAATACCTCGTCAAACAGAACAGTACACAATGGCATCACTATGCAATACCTCGTTAGACAGAACAGTACAGAATGGCATCACTGTGCAATACCTCGTTAGACAGAAAAGTACAGAATGGCATCACTGTGCAATACCTCGTTAGACAGAACAGTACAGAATGGCAACACTGTGTTATACCTCGTCAGACAGAACAGTACAGAATGGCATCACTGTGTAGTACCTCGTCAGACAGAACAGTACAGAATGGCATCACTGTGTAATACCTCGTCAGACAGAACAGTACAGAATGGCATCACTGTGCAATACCGCGTTAGACAGAACAGTACAGAATGGCATCACTGTGCAATACCGCGTTAGACAGAACAGTACAGAATGGCATCACTGTGCAATACCGCGTTAGACAGAACAGTACAGAATGGCATCACTGTGCAATACCGCGTTAGACAGAACAGTACAGAATGGCATCACTGTGCAATACCACGTTAGACAGAACAGTACAGAATGGCATCACTGTGCAATACCTCGTTTGACAGAACAGTACAGAATGGCATCACTGTGTAATACCTCGTCAGACAGAACAGTACAGAATGGCATCACTGTGCAATACCTCACTAAACAGAACAGTACAATGTTACCATTGTGTTCCTTACATATTATTAGGTGTGTTGCTTCCATCATATCGCACTTCTATAATCGGTAATCACATGAGTTGAACAAAGATACTGATCGAAAAGACAATGGAAATAACCATACGGACCTTTCTTTAAGATTTTCAACAATGCACCACATGCATGGCGAATCCTAACCTTGTCAACATAAATACATGCAGGAGGTGAAGTCTAGTACAAATAAAATTTCAAATGTATTGATATAAAACACTTGGAGAATATTGGCAATACTGGATCCTTAGCCATGTGTAGATACAGATAACAATCATGGACCATAAAAGTGATGACCTGTACTAAAACGGAATGCAAAGCTTCACTGGTATATCCCAAATGTTCTACTGTAATCCTCGAATGTTTTATTGTATATTATTAAAAGAAACTGGTTTAAAAGGGACTATAAACTATGAACGATATACTGAAGAATAATAATGAACCTTCAATGAACAAAAAAGAGACTACCAAATAAAAGGCACAATCATTGACTAGTACCAGGTTCTATCAAACATACCAAAAACCTGGAAAGATGTTATTAGAAATAATCGCATTATGCTATAATGCTATGAGTGAATATGGTTTTACATCGCGTTTAGCAATATTCCAGCAATATAACGGCAATATAATACCTATAAGTATAATATTACACGGCATCTGTGTCTATGTAAAATATGTAACAACAGCTACTGAATTGATTTAAAAACAAATAAGCATTTGAATCTGTATGGATAAAATCATAACACAAGATATGCCCCCAAATCCTTGTGTTATGTAAACTGTATTTCGTTTTGCCATGCACACACAGTAAGACTGCATGATTCTACTTGGACTAGCTGAATTACTGAAAAAGGATTTTCATTGTTAATAAGACCCAATATTTTAACGACTAGGGGCCTTCTGTAACACCAGCCAAGGTTTGTTCAATTAATTCAGGATATATGCCTTGGTGCCAATTATCCAGTTTTAGCAAATAGTTTTCAGAAGGATGTTGAATAATTTTCCAGGTTCATATCAATATTATTTTACGTAATAAAATCAGATGAAATGATTCAACTATGAATGTGGAATGGATCTATTTTACTTTGAATTCAGCGTTCTCTTGCGTGGCATTTAATTACAGTGCGTTTTTGACCTGCTAACATTTCCTATTACATAAGATAAGGGGAAAGTGCGCTTTATGACTCCGTGGCGTGTTATTGAACACAGTTATCCAGTCTTACCAGATTGTTTCATTTGAAGGGCTTTGAATTATTTGCCAGGTTCATGAAGTCAATATTATTGAGATTGTAACAGCTGATCAAATGATTCAACGATCCATATGAAAGGATCTACTCTACTGGCCTAATCCTACTTCCATGTCAGAACTGGCTTGTTTTTTGTTTATTTTTTATTCTTGATATGACCTGCAACAAGGTAACATTTCATCAAACACTAAAAGGGAAAATACGCCGATGTCCATTTTCGATGAAGGTGTAGAAGGTGTAACCAGTGCTTGTGCCAAACTGAAACATTGTATCAAGGTTTAGGCATCAAATGCCTTTTCAAGTCGTTGGCTGGTTTGTTTGTTTGTTGTTTAACGCCGTAAATATTTCCAGCTATATGACGGCGGTCTGTAAATAATCGAGTCTGGACCAGACAATCCAGTGATTGACATCATGAGTATCGATCCACGCAATTGGTATCAAATGACATGCATCAACCAAGTCAGCGAGCCTGACCACCCGATCCCGTTAGTCGCCTCTTACGACAAGCATATCCTGATCAAGTCATTACGGTATTGTATGGTAGACATCCAGATGAATTTACTAAACATAACACCTTGCTTGTCAACATAATGCGCAATACAATGTCGTGTCCACCTCCTTAATCACTGGAACTTCCTTTAATGGATGGTTGGTCAATGCTTGTGATGACGTGGATTATTGCTCATGAGACTGATCACAGGATTGTCTGGTCAATACCCGATTGTTTACAGGCCGCTGTCGTATGTCAGGCGTAATACTGCGTGCCGCATCAGCAACAAACAAAAACTTACTTTTTTATGTAAATTGTGTGAGTGATGGTAGAGAAGGAAATAACTCACACTTT